GATAACTCTTTCTTCTTCTTTCAAACGTCTCAGTCTCTCGTGGAATCACTTCCGCTGATGAAGAGAAAAGGATGATAGTCAGGAGGCGAGGCCTCCGTTTTATACGGTGTAATGCGCGCGCATTCAGGTAGGCCCGCCCAAGGCCGGCTACGTCTGTAGAAGTCTCAGTGGGAGAATGCTCGCAGGGTAAGGTAGTACCCCTAGAGTCCAGTAGAGGGCGGAGCCTGTGAGAGATATAACTAGGCTGGGGCGCTTCTGAAGAGTCCTCGGTGTGTTTCTGCCGTGAATACGAGCCAGGCTTAGGAAGGACAGGGTTAGGACTGGCCTAAATGGTAATAGGGTTGACTCCTGCCATTCACATTAAAGATCTCCTATCATGCTATTTTTAGGCATATATTATGGGTCTCAGATATTTAAAAATATATAAAAAACATGTCTATGATCATGTGTTTTGCTCAAAATACCAGAGAGATCAGAGATCATGCATTTTAGACATCCATTACATTACATTACTTGTTAGACGCTTTTATCCAAAGCGACTTATGGCGCGTTTCCACTTCAGCGGGTAGCTCGCTTTAAGCGTGCCGTGCCGTGCAGTGCCCGTTTTTGGTTGCGTTTCCACTTGGCCTAGTTTTGGCCCGGGGCTACTTTTTCACCTTTTTTCTGGCCCGACTAAATCGTGGTTCTAGGGCCAGGAACAACCAGGCTGAGTCGGGCTGAGTATGCTAAACTAGAGAGAGAATCGCTGGCAAGGGGGCTACAACTACAACAAGATGAACATATTTGACCGTGATTTAATTGTAATACACATTTCTAAATGATGCCGAAGTAACAACATACTGATACCGGTTAGTAAAAACCATGAATTAATGCTTTGACAAGTCTGCAGACAGACGGCAGGCGAAAAACCCTTTTAAAATGCGTGTTTTCTAAATGGAGCTTGGCTAAGCTAACATTATATATGCTCCGACCGTCCACACTCACAACAACGGCCTATACAGACATAAATAAACCAGCGACTGTATTCGCCATGACACAGGCAGTCTGTGGTTTGTACTTGTTTAACTTTTGTCTAGTTTCTGAACAGATATGAAGAGCTGTGAGCTCTGAGTGCTAAGAGCTAACGGCTGTGTTGTTTTTCTGGGGCTCTCATTGAAGATGACGTCACGGCTCCGCCTACACTGCGTTACTATAGTAACTACCCCAGTTCCTAAACTGTAATGGAAGCGCAGCATAAAGTGAGCCGGGCCTAATAAGGCCTAACCAAACCGAGCGAGGCCGAGCGAGGCCGAGCGAGGCCTGCAGTGGAAACGCGCCATTACATACATTCAAAACTGTGGACAATCCCCACAGGAGCAATTTGGGGTGAAGTGTCTTGCCCAGGGACACAACGACATGCTGACTGCACAGCGCAGCATAAAGTGAGCCGGGCCTAATAAGGCCTAACCAAACCGAGCGAGGCCTGCAGTGGAAACGCGCCATTACATACATTCAATATTGTGGACAATCCCCACAGGAGCAATTTGGGGTGAAGTGTCTTGCCCAGGGACACAACGACATGCTGACTGCAGTGGGACTCGAACTTGGTACCCCCTGATTCCAAGTCCAGCACTCAGCCACATCCCTCATATCCCTCTGTTTCAGCCCTGTTAGAGAAGTGCTGATTCTGGGTCTAAAGCTTTAAAAAAAAAAAAAATGTGTTTAAATATATATACATAAGTGGGGGTGCTTATGCTGAGTATCTGATCAGGAGAATTCTACCCAGATACAGCTAAATGCTGCCGTGATTAAAAGCCATATCATGTTCAAAACCACATCAAGGATTATTTCTGAAACCGTATGGAGCTCAAATGCTTTTTCTCTTGCGGGTTTACTACAAGGAGAGTTTCTTTTTATATCCTGATTTTTTACACATACTCTCTGCAGTACAGGATAGCTCTGAGTGTTCGCGATGCTCGCTAATGTAAACAAAGATCATATTACTTCCAAAACACGTTGCGCATTGTTTCTGATAGCGACGTTTCTTGATAGGGCCGTGGGTGTAAAGCCAGCACACATTTCCGATATTACGTCATATCGGACGCAAATCTGGATCAGCTCCGTTCTACTCCCGTTGTTTTATAGATTTGGGTACGGAGGAAAAGGGAGAGGGCTTTGTTTTCTGACACACCGGGGACACATATGTATGCATACAAGACATCAAAGGTGCATTTTGCATGATAGGAGACCTTTAAAGGTTAAAATCACATTGACGTCAACTCTTGCCTGTCCCCCCAGTTTAGTGTGTGGAAGCAGAAAATTGTACAGTCCTTTATTTAGTCACAAAATAGGTGTTTTATTTGTAAACCAGTAACTAATGTTAGCCCATGTTATGAACTGTCTTTCTTTCTGTGTGAGTGTGTGAGTGAATAGCTGTTGCTCTGTTGCCAGGCAAATACAAAGCCTGCAGGGGACATCTGCTTCGATTGAAATTACGTACGCCAAGTCCTCCCACTGACATAGACGTGCTCTTTATCAGTCACTCTCATAAGGACACACACACACACATACATACATACATACATACATACATACATACATACACACACACACACGGGCACAAATATGCTGAACAGCATAGATATTTTCCACAAAACCTTTTTCTACTGAGTGACAGATTGTAGAGACAGGCAATGTGTGTCTGTGTATGTGTTCCTACATATTTTTCAATCCATTGTAAAGCTTTATTGGGGATCCCTATCATTGCAAAAGCTCTCTCAGTGCTACACATAGTTATTTCTGTCCTGTTAATAAAAACATATCTTACAAGGACTCATTATAAGATCATGTAGTGATATTGTGTCCCTCTTTGAACTGAGCCTGTGTCCTTTTTCATATTTTCCTTACATGTTCTTGTTGTGTTGCGTCAAGCTAACCTGGAGAAAGCATTGGAGGAGGCTTATGGATAAGCTATAGATTTCCAACAGTTAATTAGTGATGAGGGGTTTCCCTCATTAACATGACCAGAGGCAGCAAGGTCAGAGGTCAAAGAGATCTTTAGTGATCAGTCATGCTGATAGCCGAGAGGATTTCTCGTGTGTGTGTGTAGGGTGTGCATGTGTATGTCATTGTCTCCATGATTGGAAATCATTATTTAAGATCTGGCTGTTGTTTTGCCTCCATGGAGACAGAACGGCCAGACAGGTCGTTAATGAAGGCAGAGAAAAACAGGTCAGAATCGTGAGGCACTGAAAATATAATATACCGACAGCATCAGGGTACTTTTTCTCTCTTTGCTTCATGATGATTGCTCGAAATGTATCAGAAATAAAATATAATTCACTTAAAACGAAATAAAGCTTTTAAACCAAAATGAGGATATATAACAAAATAAGGAAAGACCAGATATAATGAGAGTAATTACCTTGTGTTTTTACATTATAATTAATAATCCATTCTGTAAGTCATTTACTGCTGCTCCATTTGGTCAGAGTATATATGCAGCACTTCCTGTTTCATCACCCATCCAATGGCTCATATTAATACAGTTTATGAAATGCTAATGGTAATGTTTATATGTACAATAATGTGTGACACAGATAGGATGTGCGTGTTGAGTGAGTGTTTCACATTCCAAGATTGTGTGTATCACATCTAGTTGCTTTCTTTCTTCTAAAACCAAATAACCTGGTTTTGCTGCACTCACCAAGGCACTTAGAAAAGAATGTAGTTTTATTAAAAGGGAGCTGGACTACCCTAACTCGTATCCATCCACGTCCACCCATTGCTCCTATTTGTGAGGAAGCACTGAGTGTTCCCATAAACCGTATAGTTTTACAAGAACCAGTTGTCTGATAGTGTAACAGCAGCCGTATGTTCTAAACAGTCTGTGACAGTATCTTTCACAAACCTCTTTCAGTCCCATTTCAGAATTAAGAGAGGCGAGCTTTTAGCTGCACTCACAGCAGGCTCACCATTTCCTTAATGGAAAGAAGATGGTTCGATGGTGGTTTTCGATAACAAGATGTAGCCAAATAAAGCAAACTTAATCCATTTTGCAGCATTGTATCTCATTGAAGCAACATAATAAATAAGACATTATTTACAAGTACGACACATTGTTCCTTACCACTAATATCAGTCGGAGTGACCCAGCAGCCATCTCCTATTCTTTTCTTATATTTTATAACTGTGGTTTGAGTGCTTTTTGACACGGCCATTCATTCACACTCCTGTTGAAAAGAATAGGACTGCTGCATGTTGCACAGGAGCTGATAGATGGGCGCACACACTTTAAATCTCCCTCACACACATGCAGAAACACACATGCACCTCACTGTCTCCTCTAAAGCACCACTCTGTGTTCCAGACAGATGATGTTTGCATTGAACAGTTCATAGCCGACACATTTGTGTTTGCCCTGGCAATAGGTTTCCTCTCCTCACGCAACATGTGTGTGTGTGTGTGTATACATACTGAATGTATTTGCACATACTTGGTTTGATTTTGTGTGTGTGTGTGTGTGTGTGTGTGTGTGTGTGTGTGTGTGTGTGTGTGTGTGTGTGTGTGTGTGTGTGTGTGTGTGTGTGTGTGTGTGTGTGTGTGTGTGTGTGTGTGTGTGTGTGTGTGTGTGTGTGTGTGTGTGTGTGTGTGTGTGTGTGTGTGTGTGTGTGTGTGTGTGTGTGTGTGTGTGTGTGTGTGTGTGTGTGTGTGTGTGTGGTGTGTGTGTGTGTGTGTGTGTGTGTGTGTGTGTGTGTGTGTGTGTGTGTGTGTGTGTGTGTGTGTGTGTGTGTGTGTGTGTGTGTGTGTGTGTGTGTGTGTGTGTGTGTGTGTGTGTGTGTGTGTGTGGTCAGTCAGGTACCTCTTTTAAAAGAAGGATTAGCTTCATCTGTTTGTCTGGTTGCGTAACCCCTGTGTGTTTTTAAAAGGTCGGCTGTTTAATGTCTCCCCATGTCAAATAAAACCCTGTGACTGATGAAGCCCTCGTCTCTTATAAAACATGTTGTTTTTTTCCTCTGCAGGACCCGTACGTCTTTGAGCCCAACTGTCAGATGACGGTGGACGAGTTTGGCTTTTTCATCTGCTGGAAGAGTGAGGGGAAGGTAAACTCAACGACTCATGAAAGTGTATTCTCTTCAAAGTATTTCGATTTAGTCTTGTTTATTATCGTATTGAAATCGTTTTTCTCCTGACACAAACCTTTCTTGGTCCTTGGAAAACTCCAGACCATGTACAAAAAAAATCATAACACATACATCAGCATAATCATAATTCTGCCACTCATAAACAGAGTAAGCTGCATTTATTGTATTAGTTTATTTAACAGGGACAGTGCATACTGGTATATTCTGGTATTGTAGTACAACATGTGATTTTACGGACGTCTAGAGACACGTTTGTCACGAGGAATTTCACTTTATTCTTTGTTTAACAAGCCCATTTGAATAAGAAAACGTTATTTAAAACTGTCGCCTTGGCAAATATAATGTGTTCCTATCAAGGCCCCAAAACTCTAATGTAATTGTATTTGCATCTATCAGAGATTTGGGCCATACTTATAAGTTTCTTTTTTGTCATAACTATTTTCCAATGCATTCTGTTACATTGATTGCCTTTCCTCTATCTGGCCGGTTGCTTTCACTGCATGCCCGTTCGCTTTTACAATCACCCAATGGAGATTATAGGATATCAATCATAGTCAACGTCCGCTTCTCTTTTCATGCATTCTTTACCCCTGCTTATCCTGTGTTGTGATGCAGGAGTCTGTCTCACCGCAAATTATTTCCAAAATTGAACCATGTGTAATCATCTTGAAAGCAGTAAACAAAGGAGAACATTTTATCAGTATTGGAAACTTGATTAAGGGGGAGATGTGGAGATGTTTCTCATAATAACCCACATCTTGTGGTGTTGTCGCTGTGTATTAGAAATGATTGCCAAACAAATAAAAAGCACTGTGACCCATCCATCTTGTTTTCTAAATATTTCCCCCCTCTCACCCCTCTCTGTCTCCCTCTACCTATTTCCTTTTCATCTTCCCGTGTCTCTCTCCTGCAGGAAGGCCAGGTTCTCGAGTGTTCGCTCATCAACAGCATTCGCGTCGGCGGCGTCCCAAAGGTGAGACCTCGAGAAGAGACAATTTCCTCGCTTCCGTTTTGTACAACATTCACGCTCTCCGCCCACCACACCCAGCGTCCGGTCTCCTGCTCGCTCGCAGTGGCATTCCTGGTCAAATCCAGGGGGAGTCCCATGTCTGTCATGTTATCCCTGCTTTAATTAGAGAAGTCTATCGATCCACTGACTGATCTGGGACTGTGTGTTAAACCTCTTCTCTCTACCAGATTCTCCAGAGGCAGAAACATGAAATATTCAACTCAATATTTATACAACCCTTGCTGGGTTTAGCTCCAGGATGTATGTACAGTATCAGAATGTTTGTGTTTACTTTAGAGGAATTATTAGAAATGGTGCTTTTTGATTGCGAACACAATATAAACTGTGGGATCCCTTACCTTCCCTTACCTTGTAATCAGAAACTGATCTCGAAATAGCCATTATGAACCGACACGCTGCTTTGTTCTGTATTTTCAGAGCAGCTGGCACCATTCAGTTATTTATTTAGCCAATATAGATCCACAAACAGAATCCTGTATGGTTTCCCTGTATGTTCAATATTGATTCATGCCGTTAATCCTCGACAGTGAATCATTATGTCGTAGCGTTTGGCATCATACGGAATAGATGAATTATGAAAGCTGTTAGGAGAATCCCCATGTGCCTGCCGATAATTAGGATGCAAACCTGTCAAGCCACTGAAAGTCAAACAGCTGACAGGAGACACTGGTGTGTACACAAGCATTACCGGGTTGTGTACGCATTGTTGACAGCAGGAGGGGGTCTGTTTGCCCGGCCCTCCCGTGTGGATGTGTGTACATGTGTGCGTGTGTACATGTGTAAGGGCACGTATACAGACTGTACAGCCTGCAGGCTGCTCCTCCTGTTTGCTCAAAACATCGTATACCGTTCTGTCAGTCGCACACAAGCGAGAGCAGGGCTTCTCCTCGGAGGCTGACGCGGGGACACGAGCCCCCGAGAGCTGTTTCAGATAATCCAATGAGAGCCAGAAGATGAATGGCACAGGGTAATGGCTGGCTGGGGTTTTCAAACAGCAGAGCCTGTTGCCTGTTGCAGCTAATTCAATTATTTAACAAAAATACATTACGCTCTGCCATGGTGACGATGATGGTGGAAATCAGAAAAGATGAGAGGAAGGAGTCGTGCTGTTTCATTGATAGTGAGATCATATTTTCGTGGGTTTCCTGGTTGAGATTTTTTATTGGAGAAATAACTTCTTCTTCCGGTCTTTAAATGTCAGAATGTATACATAGCTATATATTATGGTATCTAGTGTAATATGTCCATTTACTTTTCAGCATTAAATATAGATGGTTGATATCTTCAGCCTTTATGTACAGTGGTTGTTTTCTATATTTTTTGTTGTGAGAGATTATTGGTGGAGTGAGGAAAATAAGAAACAAAGGCCAACACTTGTGTAGTTAGGACCAATAATAGTGCTGTTCCCTATCGTTATTGTTCTTTTGTTGTGCATTCAAATGAGCTTCCCCACTTTTATGAAGTGTGCTCAATCACATTACAAATCACTTTATTTCCCCTGGTTTTTGTTATTATCTGGATTTCGGCCATAAACAAACACATTTGACTGCTTTAGAGAAATTAAGACTCACTGACATAGAAGACAGAAAGTCATGTTTAGGTGTCATAGGATTGTATTTGTTTTTCCAACAAATAGAAACCTACTCAGAAGCCACCATTGCATTACCCTACATTTGTCAACTGTATTGCTAAAAAAAACAAGATAATTATCAATCTGTCTTGATTGTTGATTGGTATTTGGCTTTGGCTGAAATTAAACCAAACTACACTCAAATATACTTGGCTACTTCCTGTAAGTTCCATCATGTTGCTCACCACTCGTCTGCTCACCTTCTCCTACCTACTCAAGTAAAGTGGCGTCTGAAGTGTTGCTTTCCACCACTGTGAAACACATCCAAATCATCGAGCCGCTGAGTTGTTTTTTGAATGTATTATTGTAATCTGGTCCTCCATGATGAATGTCCATTGTATCCATTTTTGGCTGACACAGAGCTTTATGTCTCTCAGACATGATCCTCATATTCCTGAGGCTTTTCTACAACAGCAGTAAACATTTCAACTGCCTTCTCTCTAAGCTTCTTCCCCATTGTGTTCTGTCATTTGTGACTATTTACTGCAAAGATACCGGAATAAGAGATCCCCTTAGATTTCTTTAATTTGTATGTAATACCTCTCTACATTTCTGAGGTTATGTGACACCTGAACTGTTTCTCAATTAAAAAACTCAAGTACTTATGTTTGATATTTTTTGTTCATAAGTGTGCAAAGTATGGCAAAAGGCAGTGCACTACTGTATGAGTAATCATAACGGTCTAAAAGTTGAGTGTGGATAGTGGATACTTCTCCCACCCAACAGCTGCCATATTGGCTACATACAGGAAGTAAAATATACTGTAGCTGTTGCGGTTGCTCCAGTAAACATAGCACTGTACAAATAAAAGTGATGGTTTTTTTTCACAATTTAAGGAACCTACCACTATCATGGGGTTAAAAAGGGGCCATTGATACATTTATAGGGTTAATTGAGCCGTCTGTATTGATTTAGTTCTGCAAAGGATCGTAGCTAGCTAGCTAACAGCGGCGATCGTCACTTCCTGTGAGTGCACACCATCTGTTTTTGAGACATTCACACACTGCACTAATGTTTTCAGTGCACAATATGGCAGTGCACTACTAAGGGACCTCACTTAGTCCAAATGAAGACACATCACTGTAGACCACTTCTGTTTCCATCCCCGTTTCTTTCTCGGGATGCTTCTGTTTCTTGCTGTCATCTTTTGAGGCATGTATTTGTCCATCTGTTTGACGCCCTTCTTGATTTTGCTTTTTCTCAGGAACCCAAGATCTTGGCATCATTCGAGGCCCTTGGAAAGACAGAGTCGGACTTAGAGGGCTGCATCATCTGCATCTGCAGCGGCACAGACCTGGTCAACCTCAACTTCGTGTTCATGGTGGCCGAGAGCCCGGACACAGCCCGGGTAAATACTTCTTATGAATGGAGAAGTGAAATGATACAATATGTATGACCTGCAGAACTGGAGGATTAGTTTGATGTTCCTCATATCAAAAGTCAGTGCTGCTTTGACAAATCCGTCTTTTTTTCAGGTTGTTTTGTTGTTTAGAAAAACATGTTCTGGGAATAAAGCTGGTATCAACTCTGCCTACCACATTGAGTTCACCCACACTTTCCTTTAACACTTCCACATCATATGGAACCCTTACACAGCAAATGATTACTTCAGAAAGCAAATTGCTAGGTGAATGGTTCACATGCTAACTCCTACGCGGCCTTGGTTCTCTCTGATAAACAGACACATTTGGAATGAGTCATTTCTCCCTGTCTCACCTCATCTCGATCTCCCTTTGAGACCTCCGCGCTCCTGCTTATGCTGTTATTTTCTCATCCTTTTTGTCTCGCTCTTTGTCTACTATCTCACTCTACCTCTGATTTTCTTCCCACTCATCTACAAAAAAAGCTCTTTGAGAAATCTGACTGCCACTCCATCCATCTTGTTCTCACTCATTAATTCATTTTAGTTTGGAACAGATGAGATTGTCTGATTCATTTATTATGCTTTATTTGCACGGATATAAAACGGACAATCTTTCAAGAATGCCAAGTAATAATAAGCATATTAAGAGAAAAGAAACAAACTACATTTCATAAAATCAAGGAAATGGCAGAAAACAATGAATCCCTTGTTCTATCTGTGTGTGTGTGTGTGTGTGTGTGTGTGTGTGTGTGTGTGTGTGTGTGTGTGTGTGTGTGTGTGTGTGTGTGTGTGTGTGTGGTGTGTGTGTGTTGGTGTGTGTGTGTGTGTGTGTGTGTGTGTGTGTGTGTGTGTTGTGGTGTGTGTGTGTGTGTGTGTGTGTGTGTGTGTGTGTGTGTGTGGTGTGTGTGGTGTGTGTGTGTGTGTGTGTGTGTGTGTGTGTGTGTGTGTGTGTGTGTGTGTGTGTGTGTGTGTGTGTGTGTGTGTGTGTGTGTGTGTGTGTGTGTGTGTGTGTGTGTGATCAACCGTGTGTGTGTGTGTGTGTGATCAACCGTGTGTGCGTGTGAAGGCAATTGATTTGCTTGTGTTTATTTCCCCCATGCCACTCACTTCTAAACACAATGCACACTCTGGGAGTGTGTGCAGGCGCTGGTTGGTCAGTGTGTTGACAGTGTGTGTCCTGAACACTGGTGCTTGTTTATTTTGCAGAAATGGATCGAGGGTCTCAGGTCAGTGATTCACAACTTTAAGGCAAACAACGTCTGTCCAATGACCTGCCTCAAGAAACAGTGAGTGCATTTTACATTAGAACACTTCTAGCACTTTAGTTTTTTGATTTCACTAAACTTTACGAAGTACAACTCTGGTATGAGAAATATCCTAATTGTTTTTTTTTCATGTCTCATTTAGTTGGATGAGAATGTGCTTCCTGACCAATGTGAATGGTAAAATTCCTGTGAGAGGGTAAGAATAAATTAGATATTTGGTACAATTATTTGGCCATCCCAGTGACTCTCATCTGTCTCACACTGTGTTTCTCTCTGATTCTTTCACAGCATTACTCGAACATTTGCATCAGGAAAGACCGAGAAGGGGATCTTTCAGGCTCTGAAGGACCTCGGCCTTCCGAGTGGAAAGGTCAGACACTGACTGAAGGCCGCAGTGGTCAGACGGATGATATGTGACACTTTAATCTGGAGGTGTAGATCTCTCACGGTTTGTTTATCTCCCACAGAACGATGAGATTGAACCTTCAGATTTCACCTTTGACATTTTCTACGCGCTCACACAGAAGATCTGCCCTCGCACAGACATAGAGGAACTCTTCAAGAAAATGTGAGTCTGCTTTTTATTATTTTTTAAACCTGCCCACTGTTTTCTTGGTAATCATGTTTACTGATTTTTTTACCTCACAATTAATACTAGAAGACGACCAATCGTCCAAATAAGCAACTTAACTGTAGCCCCCCAGCATTGTTTATACTCATGTTACCCTGTGCAGAAACAGAACAATGATATATTCCCCAAGTGTGAGCTACTGCATCTTTTTTGAAATAATCAGGACAAATGTTTCTCCGCCTGCTGCACTAACTGCTTCCACAGTTAAATACGAGTGATTATTAACATGTTATTACTAAACGTGTAACATTTAAGTATGACCCCCTTTTTATAAAGACTGCTTTCTAATTGTAACTGACTGAATGTGTGAATGACTGTGAGGGTGTCTATTTTTAAGAAGCATAACATTTTGTTTCTCTAATGAATTCCTTTGCAGCAATGGGAAAGAAACTGATTATTTAACTGTAGACCAGTTAGTCAGCTTTCTGAATGAAGTAAGCTCTTTATCATTCATTAACTTCTCTGTGTTTTGCTTGCTGCAACCCCATCCTGCTCTGCCCCGTCCCACTCTGGGTAGAAGTTGCCCGGCTGCACGGACCCTGACCCTCATTAAAAGCCCTTAAATGAAAAGTCCTTTTTAATGAGGTGCACAAAGTATTTAACCTCCAGTCAACCTGCAAGGGCAACTTCCACCAGCTCCCCTTTTCTGCATTCCCGCCCTCATCCCAATCCCCCATGTGCTGGCTACCGCGGCTCTCCTCCTTGTGTCTGATTGGTGTTGCCACGGCAACGGGAGGGTAGAGGTTCCCGTCCTGTTGCTTCCTGCTCGGCTCGTCTCGTTTCCTGCTGTCTGTGTCTGTTTTCTGTGGCTGTGCTCTTGTGTTTGGATGCCTACCTGCCCGGCCCCCCGCTGTGTGTTGCTGCTTCATGCCCAGTCCTGCGCATCGATGAGCAACAGAGCCAGTGCTTTGTTTGGATTCATTCCCATCTGGCTGTGTGTGTGGGCACTGACATTATAACAATGTTTTGATGCTGTTGTTTTTTTAAAGTAAAGCTGCCTTCAACCTCCGCATCACATACCACTTCCTTCCTTTTAAGCAAACACTTAACTGCTCACAGTTTGTTTTAGGACATCTTAGAAATGACATTGTGTTTGTTTCCTCCTATTTATACCTAAGTGCTCTCCATTTAAGACCAGAAAAGTGACTAAAATAAACTATTTTGATTTACTTATATTATTAAATCAAAATAAGGAAATGAGCACCGATGGTACGTTTCCCATGTTGCATTTGGTTGGCCCCTGTCCTGTTTGTCAATGGAAGATGTTTCTTGCGCTATATCCACTTTGTGTGGAAAGATCCTACAGATAATATGCCAGTGATTTAATCCCTGTGTGTGCGTGTTGCTCCTCAGAACCAGCGTGACCCTAGATTAAATGAGATCCTGTTCCCGTTCTACGACCCCAAGAGAGCCATGCAGATCGTCGAGAAATACGAGAGAGATGACGAGTTGAAGAAGAAAGGTAGAGAGCGACAAAGGGAAGCAGGAGGGGGACATCTTTTAGGCTATGCTGCCATCTGCCTGTGTACCTTTGAAACTACAGCATATTATATGAGACTATTGGCATAGTTCTGTCAAAATGTCTACAAACATAAAATGAACTGATAGTGCTCCTCCTTGGCAAACACAAAATTAAAAGGAAAATGTATGCATATCCAGAATTTCTTTAATCTATAATTCTCAAATACTTTTGATTTTAATCCTGTCTATCATAGTAATAATGTTACTTTAAGTCTAAGTAAAACAAATTTAAAGTTCATTGTAACGACCACTAATTGTTCAAATTGTATTAAGAAAAAATGACGGTTACATTTCATTCGTACTACCTTACACTTCAAATCAAATCAAGTTTTATTTATATAGCACATTTTTAAAACGATTTTTGGTCAACTTCCTGGTTCCCTATCCCGTAGGTCAAATGTCCAGTGATGGATTCTGCCGGTACCTGATGTCAGACGAAAACGCTCCTGTTTTCTTGGACCGGCTGCAGCTGTATCAGGAAATGGATCAGCCGCTGGCCCACTACTTCATCAGCTCGTCCCACAACACCTACCTGACGGGGCGACAGTTTGGAGGGAAGTCCTCTGTGGAGATGTACCGCCAAGTCCTGCTGTCTGGATGCAGGTGTGCAGTCTTATTCAATTAATGCAAACACACACAGTTTAAACTTCTTATATATGTATATTACATGAAATGTACATCATCAGTGGGTTCATGCAGTTCCTGTTGCTCTCCCTCTTTCAGATGTGTGGAGCTGGACTGCTGGGACGGTAAAGGAGAGGACCAGGAGCCCATCATCACTCATGGGAAGGCCATGTGCACAGACATCCTTTTCAAGGTACACACATACGCACACCATCGTTCCCTTCCCCAGTCTTTTTCTGGCTGCTTCTATGTTATTGCATTGGGCTTGCCTGCCCTCTTGTGCTGAGCCTATGATATTACATATATCACAGCGTTGTTCTCTTCTCCTTCTCCCCTTTATTGTTTTTATCCTTCTTCCTCTTCCAACAGGATGTTATCCAAGCCATCAAGGAAACAGCATTTGTGACCTCAGACTACCCTGTTATTTTGTCCTTTGAAAACCATTGCAGGTATGTCTACCGTAAGCAAAGGTGTTATTACACAACAATTATGTCATTTTTTATAGATACAGTAGGTTGACCCGATGCTCTTCTGTGTGTCTCTGCAGTAAACCACAGCAGTACAAGATGGCCAAGTATTGCGATGACACCTTTGGCGAGTTCCTCCTCAAACAGCCTCTGGAAAACTATCCGGTAGATACTCTCTTTGATTCAAAAAGTCTCACCAAATCAGTCAAATCCATTGGGATGATGGTTATCTATGTTTTAATGTTTATGTTTGTTATGTTATCTTGGGCAGATTGAATCTGGGCGCCCCTTACCCTCTCCAGGTGAACTCAAACGTAAAATCCTCATCAAAAACAAACGCTTGAAACCTGAAGTGGAACAGAGTACGTACACAACTTAGCCTGCTGACTTTTCTAACGTCTGTTTATCAGTGCTTTGTTTAATAAACGCATGTGTGTTTGTTTGTCATACAGAACAGCTAGAGGCCTTTAAGAAACACATGGAGGCAGGAGAGACCAACACACCTGCCATCATTATGGGAGAGGAGATTGAAGAGGAAACAGAGAATGGTGTGTGTGTGTGTGTGTGTGTGTGTGTGTGTGTGTGTGTGTGTGTGTGTGTGTGTGTGTGTGTGTGTGTGTGTGGTGTGTGTGTGTGTGTGTGTGTGTGTGTGTGTGTGTGTGTGTGTGTGTGTGTGTGTGTGTGTGTGTGTGTGTGTGTGTGTGTGTGTGTGTGTGTGTGTGTGTGTTAAAAAAGGGTTTAAGCTTACATGTACAGTACACAACAGGAAACCTTATCATAGGATAAATGTCTGAGTCTCATTGTTTGTTTGTGTGTAGGAGAAAAGGAGGTTGAGTTAAATTCTGAGGCCCCCAGCAGTCTGTCAGAGGCCAACAGTGTTTCCCAGAGCAACGCTGTCAGCTCCAAGAAGGAGAACAACCTCAGCAACAGTACCAAGAAGGTGGGATGTCACTCTTAACTTTGTTAACAACTGAATTGCTCACATTAACTATTTACACTGCCAGAAATCTAAAGGGTTGCTTCTATCAGAAACTTGACAGAAGCAACTACAACTTATTGTGTTTTATATAATTGGGTAATATCCATTAAATAAGTCTTAATTAAGAATGGACATTGATATTATAAAGAAACATATTATGGAGCGCTGTCTGTGTTTCCAGGTGCCGGACGATGAAGTGACGGAGATGTCTGAAGCCACAGAAGCAACAGACGCCACAGATATCTCGGAAGCATCTGACCAAGACAATAACAAAAAGGTGAGCATGACTGCTGCTACACTTTGTCACACTCTCATATATCAAACCAATCCATTTTTAAGTGTGTGTATGTGATTGTGTGTGTAACGGGTGTTTGTGTGTCTCTGTCCTGCGCAGGTTGCAGAAGAAGCGGAAGACTCTGAGGAGGCTCTGATAGCTCAGTACACCTATGTAGGAGCCACCACTAACATCCACCCGTGGCTCTCAGCCATGGTCAACTACGCACAGCCCGTCAAGTTCCAGAGTTTTGACGTGGCGGAGGGTGAGCTTCGACTTCCTCTATTGGTGTTTCTACTGCAGTCCTGCTTCTTGTACATTCAAATATGGATTAATTTCAGTATATTTGTGTGGTTTATTTCTATGTGCTGCTCTGGTAAAAGCAAAATGTCAAAAGCACTTTCTATCCCCTTTGTTGTGTCTTTCAGAAAGGAACATTCACCATAACATGTCGTCATTCAACGAGTCTGTGGGTTTGGGCTATCTGAAGACCAACGCCATCGAGTTTGTCAAGTATCCTTTGGCCTTAGCTGTGCTGCATTTATCTGAGCATTATAATTGCCTTAAGACATAAGAAGTGGTATTGTCAAATTGTTACAGCACTCATCTTATTCAATTAAGGAAATCTTTGTTTACCATAGTGAATATCCAAGGTGACTGAAAGTGAAGGCATCCCTACTATGGCTACTTCACCAAAATCTGAACAAAATGCTTTAAACATGGCTGATGTTTTTGGTCACTTAGGGGCAGCAGAAACAACATGTGACATTATCTTATCAGCTTAAAATGTAATGATATCAAACTGCTTGCTAACATTAGCTTATTTAAACATCTTCCAATTTTTAAGCAACATGATTATTCATTTGTCTGCACGCCTTGTGAATAAATCATCGTTTTGAGGTCTCTAGCAAATCCTATGGGGAAAATGTGGTTCTTTAGCTGCTACCTGTGTCTATCTGCTATGTGTGCTAAGCAGTATGTAGCTTTCTGATAAATCTACAGTTTTTAAATGATAGATTGAGGTCACCTAAATGAGAGCTGAAAGGCAGGTCAGAATGGATGTTTTTTAGCCAAATGAGTTTCCACTCTGCTCTTGGAAAAGAACCGCAGGCCTCCAGAGGCCAGTGTGACTTGGCTTGACACAAACGTACACACATAATCGCTCTCTCTCTCTCTCTCTCCTCTCTCTCTCTCTCTCTCTCTCTCTCTCTCTCTCTCTCTCTCTCTCTCTCTCTCTCTCTCTCTCTCTCTCTCTCTCTTTCTCTCTCTCTCTCTCTCTCTCTCTCTCGCTCCAATGGGACGGCTTGACCCAAGCTGTTCACACTAAAAATAGTCCTGCAGTCTGTTTGACGCACACACACACACTCCGATGCATACCCACACATGTGCAGGAACACACATGCTCTCTCTTTAAAAATATAAAAAATAAATTCCTGAGCGTCCATGCAGCTACAACAAGCGTCAGATGAGCCGTATCTACCCCAAAGGGGGCCGGGTGGACTCCAGTAATTACATGCCACAGATCTTCTGGAACGCAGGCTGCCAGATGGTCTCACTCAACTTCCAGACCCCAGGTACCACAGCACACAACATGTGACCTCTGACCTCACACACACCCCCATATCAAGTAATCCACATACAGCACAAACATCCTCCAAGCACACATGTGTAACCAAATGCAAGCACTCATTTGACCTTCTGATCCAAGAGAAAGCGCAGCATGCAGTGAACTTCTGACCTTTCATATTCTTACAGCACACAGAAAGCATCTTCTTTGTGTTGTCAGGATAAACATGGAGTCACTGATAAACAAGCCTCACTGCCCCAGTCATAGCATACATCCAAATGTACATGCCAAGAACAATTAGAACATTTGGACTTTACAAAGCTGAATCCGTTTGGATTACATTGTTTAAAATGTTCAGTCCTACATTACAAAATAAGCATTTATTTTCTGATGACTTTTAAGTATAGGCCAAGGTCTTTTAGAGATCTGTCCTGGAACTTTCTACTTCCAATACAATGCATACCACATTTACGCGGCACCATGTTATTCCAGACACTGACCAACCTCCTCGAGTCTGTGCTTAGTCACAAATACCTTCATAAGCTTTTTGTTTAGGAAAACCATAGTGCTATTTCTTGCTGTATTTGTTGCTTTATAAAAACAACCGACTAAATACAAGATCAGGCAAATAAAGTATGTCAGCATACTGTGACATAAATCTAAATCATGCACCCCCTTTGCAATTAACTGTCTTCCCTAACCATACACACTTGTGAACCATACACACTTGTGGGAACAACAGATTTTAGTTTACAGGCTCTGCAAATGGTTTGCACGTCATTTTACAGCATTAGGTTATGCATGCGTGAACCTACAGTACACACAAACACACACTTCATCTGTTTTCCCTCTGAACAACTGATAAAAACACACACACATGCATACCTATGTACCAGTGATGCCTGTTGGAAAACAGCTGCTGCCCCATGGCCAGAGGCAAAAGGGGTCGGACCATATGGCCTGCTGGGAGCTGAGCATGTGCTAGCCTGGAGGGGGGGGGGGGGGGGGTTTCTGTGATGGAGTAATACATGGTTAGAGGGAAGAAAAAGAAGAGAAATGTCAGAGAAAATATAAAGGACACAAAGTCTTTAAGTGGAAAAAACAAGTTCAACAGAAAACAATGCAAATTATATGAATTGCTTTCAAATGTTGTTGTTTGTGAGTAATATCTGTCATCAACACTTCTCTCATCCGCTCTCAGATCTGGCCATGCAGCTCAACCAAGGAAAGTACGAGTACAACGGCTCCTGCGGGTGAGAACAGCTCCTCACTCCTGTCCTTAGCTCGTTCTTATCCGTCGCATCCCTCCCTCCTCCGCCCCTATCCGAAGCTCATCAATTAAAGCTTGTCACATCTCATTAGTGGTTGCCAGCGGCTACCATAGTTACTGTCTGCCCTGAGAGCCAATGAGTGCTTCGGGGAAGCGGGCTCCACGTAAACCCGCTTCTGAGGCTCTCTGCAGTCATCTATCTCTTCCTGTCTCGTCCCTCGGCTCTAATACTGTCCCTGAGGCGCAGCGCTCACTGCTAATGCTGGAATCTCATATGTGGGAAGATCAGGGCTTCTGCAGACACCCATCATTACTAATGCTACTCAGCTGGCCCCGGGATAACACACACACACACGCGCGCACACACCTTAAGTACCTCCTTATTCCCAATACATTGTTTTAGGGCGTAAATTAACATTTAAATAATTGTAGAAACTATTAAGAGTATATTGTTATTAGGATGTTGTGTTTCATTCCAGTGTTTCAACATGTGATCTAAAAGGTGGATTGATGTTGTGTCATCAAGAGTATATTGTTATTAGGATGTTGTGTTTCATTCCAGTGTTTCAACATGTGATCTAAAAGGTGGATTGATGTTGTGTCATCAAGAGTATATTGTTATTAGGATGTTGTTTCATTCCAGTGTTTTAACATGTGTTTCAACATGTGATCTAAAAGGTGGATTGATGTTGTGTCATCAGGTACCTGCTGAAGCCTGACTTCATGCGGCGGTCAGACAGGATGTTTGACCCTTTCTCAGAGACGCCTGTGGACGGAGTCATCGCAGCAACCTGCAGTGTTCAGGTCAGTCCATGGGACCCTGTACTCGTCTAGGAGAACTGTTCAACCCTATAAATAATAAGGAAAACTACAGTACTTTTTTATAAAACGTATCCATATAAAATACTCGTATTTATACAAGGGTCCATTTGAGGCTTGGTTTTGTTGTAGGATTAAAATCTAGGGGGGCGGAGTAGTTTGTTTAAAACACAACTTACACATTTTAAACATTAGTAGATGGTACTAGAATGTACCACATAATGTTAAATAAGTCAATAGTTACTACTTCTAGTGATCTTGTGAAATCCATGTCTGCCAAATAAATATTCCTAATGATGTCCTCTTTTAAAATGTTTACTTAAGGTGTTCTCTGGACAGTTCCTGTCAGACAAGAAAATTGGCACGTACGTTGAGGTGGACATGTACGGACTGCCGACGGACACCATCCGGAAGGAGTTCCGCACCCGCATGGTGATGAACAACGGACTGAACCCTCTCTACAACGAGGAGCCCTTCGTCTTCAGAAAGGTAGTGAGAAGGGGAAAGGGCTTGCTGGCCAATGAGGGAGCAGAGAGGGAGAGATAACAGACACAGTGAGGTAAAACAAATGTGCTGCACTATTTCCAACACCGTGTCGTCACAAGGAAATAGGGGATGAAGACAAATATACAGTAAGATGTCAGTTCTAGCAAGAGTAAAGATGAGAGGAGGAAGGCAAGACGGAGGGAGTGATTCAAGAATAAAGGAAAAACTAACGGAAATAAAACAATTTAGGTGGAAAGAAGAAAAAAGGGGAGGACAAAGGAGAAGGACCAGGGATAGTGAGCGAAAGAGTGTTGGTAATAGTGCTGCTCTCAGCAGAATGAGGAGTCTCTCAGCCATGACTGTGACTCCAGCTTCCTAACACACACCATCAATCACAGCCTGCCGCAGTGCTGCTCTGCTCACACACACACACTTACACAGTGCTATCAGAGGGGCATCACAAGCAGAGGTGCTGGCAGGACTCGTTTCTCACATCTACAAATGCCCTCAAATACTGCCATACCTTCCTCATGCACCTAAACACATCACTGTCGGGATGACTCAACAACACACACCAGCAGCACTCGCATACTGTACATCAGCAAGGCCACATTTGCGTAATACACACGTAAACACAAGCAGGTGCTTCTACCCATTCATCGATAGTGAGTATTCTTCCATCTTATCTCTTAGCTCCCTCTCCGTCTGGGTATTAATCATCCTCCTTTCACTTATCTCCACAAACAAGGCCAGTCAGGCTCATCCCAGACACAATGTACACACACATACAAACACATGCACACAAGATGTACTCCCTGCGTGTGTACTAGCTGTGGAGATGGTCTTGTCAGTAGTCAGATATGCTGTGTCGCTGCATTCATGCCTTTTTCCCCATTTCACACTGTGACCGTCCCCTGCAGTGTCCTCCTTGACCCCCCCCCTTAATGATGCCATTTCTGCTTTAGCTTAAAACAGAGACTGTTTAACTCCAATGGCTCAGAATAGTTTTTTGTTAACTTATTTTTACACCAGAATGTATTTAGGAGACTTCCTACGGTTCCACATGGATAATGTACAACCCTAACTGTGACTTTTATTTTCTGTAACACTTTTTGTCCTCACATCTCTTCACCTCCCCATCTTCTTCCTCCCAACCTCCATTTCCCTAAATCCCTCCCTCCTAGGTGATCTTACCCGATCTGGCGGTCCTGCGCATCGCCGTTTACGACGACAACAACAAGCTGATTGGTCAGCGCATCCTGCCTCTGGACGGCCTGCAGGCTGGCTACCGTCACATCTCGCTGAGGAACGAGGGCAACAAGCCCCTGTCGTTGCCCACCATCTTCTGCCAAATCATCCTCAAGACATACGTGCCCGACGGCTTTGGAGGTGAGGAAAACACGCATACAAAATCTTAATGTATATTGCTTTATTCTCAGAGGTGTTCAGTAAATGCAGATGTAAGTCTTTCTAGGTTTATTTGGAATGGTAAGCTATCTCTTACTCGTAAAACTTTCACGCGAAGTCCCAAACAATGCAAGGGATTGGTCTTCAATTATACTTACAATACTGGGCAGGTAATATTCAGAGGTTCTCATATCTATACTTTCAAAACAAGGTCACAGATTCTGAATACATTTGGCGTTACCTGCACAAGATGAATACATGCCTTTACTCTAGCTAGACTCAAACTGGCTTTCCTATTTTGGCATTCAATTGAAATTAGTTTTACTGAGGAGTGTTTGCCTCATTTAATGATCATGCATTTGCGCTTACTGCCCCCTCCTTACTTTCTCCCTATTTGCTGATCAGGTACTTTGTGATAAAAGTGCTCCACCTCTGTCCCCAATAAACCACCATCTACTGTAGATGAGCTTATGTCCTTCTGCTCTGATATACTCTTTAATCAATCATTTGAACAAGCAACCATTTGACAATGTAACTTAATGCAACCCTTTCACTGAGGATACAGGAGATATGACTCAAACATTTGAACAAATCATCCACATACTATTTCAAATGGTCCATGGCCTCCACCTTTCTAAGACTTAACTGTGACCCTGCTTGTGTAGGCCAGGAGCTCTAGGTACGTACTATGTTTTGGGCATGGGAGTGTTTGGATCAAACAAAAAAAGGTATTTAAAGTTTTCCACCGACATACTTTGTATTACTGCTCCGTTGATTCATTACTGATAATAAAGTTGTTTCTGTAGCCTGTGGTGAGAAGAGAAAAAAAGGAAAGCAAGGCAACTCTCTTCTGCTCTCACGCTCACTTACTCTCTGCCTTGGCTTGGTTTGAGCATTCAGAGTAATGGCATGGCGCAAATGATGATGACAGTGAATCTGCAGTAATAGACAGTTTAAAACAGGCAGAAGCATACAAATGAGCAGGATATTGGCATCGTCATTAAATAAAGCCAAGGGGCTTGCACTGAGGAACCATTACTGTAACCATTAGAAGATCTGCTGCCAGAACCACTTCCCTGCCAGACACACTGCGCTCTACTCGGGCTCAAAATAAAGCTAGAGCCTACTGCAGTCTTCACTGGTATCATTTCTCAGTACATTGCTGTAGTAGTCAAGGTGATCATGCAAGAGGAGGATCGCTTTTGTGATAGTTTCCCAACATCTGTGTGAGCAAGGCAATACATCCTACTGCCATTCATAATCATAAGGCGAGTGGGGGAGAGAAACTCCGTCTAGAGGGAACTTTTGGAGTTTAGCCTCTGCGGACCATTTACATGCACATAAACCTATACAACAGAATCTAAGAAAGCAGATTGATATATTGACCCTCATTTTGATAGGCTTTAAATAAACAATAGTTTAGAGTTTTGTCATACTTTAGGTGTTATGTGGAAATGTGGTTCAACATGACATCCAACAATCCTTTAACCCACCTTTTTATTAATTCATCTTTTCTTTCTCCTGTACTATACTCATACATTGTTTTGTGTGTTTTAGCAATTGTGGATGCCCTATCGGACCCAAAGAAATTCTTGACCATAGCAGAGAAAAGAGCTGACCAGATGAAGGCGCTGGGGATTGACACGGTACACACACACACACCTGATCCTTCGGTTTGAGTTAATAGAAAATGCTCAGCTCCATTTGCAGAACTGTACCTGATTGACTGGGCAACACTTATGTTACATGTTATATGTTGTTATAGCTAAGTTTTAAACTCTGTATACCTGCATCCAAATAACAGTGTGCCTTACCATCTAATTGAATTATTTCTTTTTGTAGAATGACATAGCAGACGTTCCCAGTGGAAGCTCAAAGAATGACAAGAAGGGGAAAGGGAAAGGAGACACGGTGAAGGCCAACGTCACACCGCAGGCCAGCTCGGACATGGCCCAGAGCTCCAACTTGGCTCACAATAACAACGCAGAAAACAAAAAGGGTATCCACTGACTCTTAAACACATTAAAGGCATGCATATGAATGTTTGTTGTTAAAACATGACTTTTCTCTGCTGTTTCAGATACTGCACTCGTGCCTAATGTCAGCATTGAGGACTTAAAACTAATGAAGGTGGGTAACTGAACAACTTACTCTAAACACAGGGCTCAGTCTGTAGGACAGAAAAGGTAGAAGAGTTACAGAATGTGTAATCATGTTGGTTCAAATGTTATTATTTTCAAAATAACAACCAACAGAGGTGTGCTTTATTAAAGTTATTGCTAAACAATCATGTTGTAAAGTAAAAGTGAAAAGTTACGGTCACATTCCTGACGTAGGTAATCGTACAGGTTTCATAAAAGGAGAATGATAAAGAGTAATATGTTTAAGTCTGATGTATAATGTGTACTCAAAGGCTACTCTCAACATCTGGCTACTCCCTGCAACCAGATTAATAACAGCACCTCTCCCCCTCTGCAGACGTACCTTAAATTGATTAAAAAGCAACAGAAGGAGCTCAACACTTTAAAGAAGAAGCAGGCAAAGGTGGGTGATTGTGTGAGAGCCGACCTGTTGGTAGTGCAAAGAGGCCGCTGCTTATTCCGGACCGTCATTGATGCTCCGCCTTTCATCTCTCACTGCTTCATCCCTGTGTTCGCCTGCACACACACACACACACACAGTCTGTCCACAACAAACACACACACACACACATGAGGACACATCATCAATGTTCAGTAAGAAATTATACTTGCTAAGGTGCTTTTCCTTTGACCAGAGCGTACCATAGCGACCGTGGTGAGTGTTCGCTCATTCATAGTGGCTCATTAATTATCATAGTATTAGGTACTATTGCATAACCCATGTATACAAGTGCCATCCAGACCCATCTGTTGACTGTTTGAAGACAACTGTTGGCTCATAACTAGATGTAGACAACAACAACAACATATTATTATTATTATTTTCATCAAAGATTTGCATTGTAGCTGCCTGCTTTTCTATGATATCTGCTTCTAAATTATTCTCAAATATGCTCATGGAGGAAGTTGTTGGGTACAACTGCAATTCAAAAGTAGAAATAAATACTTGGTGATTAACATGTTGTTGTTTCAATAGGATCAAAGTACAATGCAGAAAGCCCACTGCACCCAGGTGGACAAGATGGTGTCACAGAATGAGAAGGAGAAGACCTCCCTGGAGAAACTACTAGAGAAAGCCATTAAAAAACGAGGGTAAACGCAAGAAAAGCAACAGACGTGAAAATAATCAATCATGTATACATGTGTCTGCTACCTTATTTTATTCATAATAAATCCTGTATTCTTGACCACAATGTCTTGAAAACCTAAATATTAAGGAGGACACAACTTTTAGACAACCTTTTGGAAATCTAAAGCAGATTTTGTTTGTGACAAAAAGTAAAGGTCTCTTTAAAAGTTCTACAATCACATTTTCCCTGCATGATCTTATGGTGGTTTCCTCACAGGGAAAACAACTGCCAAGAGCTGAAGAAGGAGACGGAGGATAAGATCCAAACACTGACCGCTGATCACAAAGTCAAGGTAACTTTTGACCCCGAGACAAGCCTCCTTTTTTCCAGTATTGGAAAGTCAATTATATCATGATTTTACAAAATGAATAAGGATACTCTCTAAACATGTTTTTACCTTTTTGCACTCTATTGGCAATTTATTATTCATCTTAAAAAAGATGAACAAGAAACGAATGTGTCCATTGTTGCTTTGGGAGCAGTAGCCTGCACCATAATGTGATTTACTCTCAGAGTTAACAGGGTTCGTATTGTTTTGAGCTGTGAGTGACGAAACCGGGATAGGACCCAACCCTCGCTGTGATGTAAAGAGCCTGGAGTTACATTGACTGAGGTGTGTATCTGGAACTGTGTGTATATGCAGGTAAAAGACATCACAGCACAGCACACTAAAGAGTGGTCCGAGCTGATCAGCAGCCACAGCAGCGAGGAGCAGGTGATGAAGGACGGCCACGTCACACAGCAGTGCGAACACCTCAAGAAACTCCTGACCACCGTGCAGGAGCAGCAGACCGTGCAGCTCAAACTCATCCACGAACGGTGAGAGGCTCACACACACACACACCATGTGTACACACCCATTTACTGCAGGTGACCTGATTCCAAGAGGCTAACTCAAAGTCCCAGTCACCTTACTGTCGCTGTAAATGCAGGGTCTTCAACTACATGTGGCTGCTTGTTCTACAATTTCAGGCAGAGCAAAGAGATGCGTGCCAACCAGGCCAAGATGTCCATGGAAAACAGTAAAGCCATCAGCCAGGACAAGTCCATCAAAAACAAGGCAGAGAGAGAGAGGTGGGTCACACACACACACACATATATACTGTATCCATCTATAATGATTAGTAATTCATTTGGAGAAGTGGTTTGTTGTGATTGTTTTTAGCCAATTGTTATGCCATGATCCTGTTCTTATTGCTATTCAGGAGAGTGCGAGAGTTAAACAGCAGCAACACCAAGAAGTTCCTGGATGAGAGGAAGAGGGTAGGTTGTTTTTACCCTTTCCTTCTTTGAACACTAAGCTAAGAAATATACCAGTAAATCTCACATTTTAAGTCATAATGAATATATGAATTCCATTGAACTGTTTGGGTGTCTGTTACTACTTCAGTATTGTTACATTTCTAAGGAAACATTCCCACTTAAAAAAAAAAAGAAAGATGGGCTGGTCTTAAATGAAAGACTGCTACTGAAAATATTTCATGACTTTTGTTTTGCTTACTAAGTGTTAAACCTCTTGATTTGATGTTGCATAATTAACTAACACTATGTGACAACCTGTGTGTTGATCACTACAACAAATAGAAGATTCATTTAAATCAACTTTGTTGGGTAGATTTATTTTGTAATCTTCATTTTGTGTACAGCGATTTTTGTCTACAAGTCATGGCTTGAGACTGTGTTATTATTGAAAGTTCTCATCAGTAACTGGGATGTGATTGTGTTGTGTCCCTGTATGTCTGCAGCTGGCCATGAAGCTACAGAAAGAGATGGAGCAGCTACAGAAAAACCAGAGAGAACAGTTGGAGAAACTGGAGAAGTTCAATGAGCAGGTACAGACCCCACAGGCAGAGTGTAAATAACATTCGAGGCTGGGGACTAGCGCAGTACCTGGCTGATTTCTTCACTATATGATGGAGGCAGTTTCTGTCTCCTGTGATGTAACCTTAATAGGTTTTGTAGGACGTTTTCCATATGACTGGCCTCAGAAATTCCCCAGACTCTACCGAGAAAGAACAATGTTGCTGTCAAAGAATACATCGTCAACTTTCAAGAATCAAAGTCTCAACGCACAATATTATTCCTACATTGAGAGTTTATTCTGCATAACACTTGACTGCACTGTATCTATCTGCCATACATGCTTTAAAGCAACATTATGTAGGAATAATTGGTATTTTTGATTAATTGGAGTGCAAGTCATGTATACTCGTGTATACTCGTGTATACGCATGCATTTGTTATGATCAAAAAGTTGTTATGATAACATTAGTAATGATCAAACCTAGCGATCCAAAGCTCCTGTGCTAAACTAACCAATGGTCAGAGCTCCCAGTCCTGGCAACACGACTAACTGAGCTAACGGCTAGCTTAACAGGAGTTAGCGGTTAGCATTACTTAAGCAACAAGTTATGCTATCATTTGTTCTAAAAATAAAGCAAGGCAGGGCAGACAGAGGACATCAGGACCAGTCAATCAACTAGGATCCAGTCTCACCAACATCAACTAGGTGGTAGTAAAGCGTTACACATTTCTACCGAGGGATTATACAACCTGCTCACCAACCAATTTCTTCAAGCTGTTATTTGATGTATTTGTTGGATAATGTTGCTTAAAGGTTACACTTAAAAGAGTATAACCTCTAAAAAAGTAAAGGTCACTTTGCTCATGAAGGTATCATAAATGCATCTTTCCATTGTATGTGTCCATCTGCCGCACTGTCTTCACCTGTACATGTCTTACATGTCTGCACAAATTCATTTGTTTTTAATATGATTTGCTTCTTCCGGCACAGCTTTTGAAATCACACCATGCAAACAAACAGGTTCAAGGTAGGCATCTCCATCTCACTCAACTCTCCCTCTGACACCACCTTACTGTCATTCCATCCTTAAGAGATCAGCTTTCCTTCTACCTATGTTATGTTACGAATGAAATCCCTTCTGACTAAAGCAGGTTGCACGGCAGGTCTGCCTTGGAAGAGATTGCAAGATTAAGAGAGAAAGAATGACTTAGTATTTTGAGATCCTCCTTTTCCCCCCCATTTGTATTCTGCAGCTCTCAGGGTGTTGGCAGTGCCAACGAGCAGCTTGAGTCATTTATCACTGTGACTCACCAGCTATTACTAAGCAAAAACAGCCAGCTCCCAGCCTGCCCTTCTGTCACATACTACGAAAGCAAATGATGAGTGGAAGTGAACGCACATTGTCCCACTGCAGACATGTTGTGGCATCCATTTAACTTCACTCCTACGAAGTGTGTGGTTTATATTGCGTGCAAAAGTATGTGAGGAAATGATTTGTCATTTTCTGTAGCTATGTGTCTAACGGTGTTTTCTCTCCTCGAAGGCCAAGGACATGCAACAGATGGTGAAGTTGGAGGAGGAGATGGACCGCAGACCTGCCACGGTGGTGTGAGCGAATGAGACAGAGGCACATGCATGCACGCACACACACACACACACACATGCATGCAGGTGCAGAAACACTGCACCGCTGATAGCCCTCTACAACCCAGAGACATTAACCCTGGTTACATCACTGTCTCTACTTTCTGTCATCTTTCACACACAAACAAACACAGTAGCCCTCCCACCACTCAGTTTCTGCACCCTTACCTCACCCACCAACTCTACAACACTGAGCCATTGGTGCTCCAATGTTACCTCGGAAGCAAAACACAGAATCAGACGTATCCCCTCCTCCACTGTTTGTAGTTTGAAATGTTCACCTTCAATGCTCTCTGAATCCTACGGGCAACACAAGCTGCAGCTATGGGTGGACACACACTCACTCACACACACACACATGCACAAACACTCACTCACGGGAGGTGGATAACCATTCCCTTTTATACTTTGTTCCTTCTTTCTTTCTTTGAAAATGGTACCCGATGAACTGCTCCGGAAAGGGCGCGAAGAGGTGAAAAGAATATGTTTAAGATTTAATGTCATTTCAGCACAAATGAAAAAAGGTTGTGAAATACACTGTACGCTACACACCAGTCCTGTCCTGAGCACTTTGTATGTGTAGGCCATTATAACAATGTGGAAAATGTAGCAGTGCACTACTGTAGGTTTTCTGTATTTCAGTAAGAATGTATTTTTAAAAAAGAAAATCACTTTATGAAGGAGTAGCAAACACCACGTGTCACCTATACCTACAATGCAAGTTGTGTGGCTTCACAAAGATGTGTTACTGACGTTTTTGTTGTCCGACAATGTTACAGCCGACTATAAAAAGGCTTATTATCTTCGCTGCGTCAAAAGACTATAAAGGGATCACAATGGAGAGATGTTCACTTTGATTATGGCCCATTTCCCCAGTCAAGTTCTGTGTTTAAATGCTATACCCTAGAGATTGTGTACCTTTTGTGTTTTACTTGAAAATAACATGCTAAAGTCATTTTTATTTATTTTTACAATTGCCCTCAATCATCCCAAGTTTATACCTGCAAATCTCAAAGTGTTATGCTCCTAATGTTGGGCTCAAAATCACCTCTATACTATGCAAACTATACAAAACATGATTCCCTTCAAGCTTAAGGTGTCAAAAATACAGAAAATCAATTATGACCGTGACCAAAAGAAATAGAGGAAAATTATACAGTAATAGTTACCCAAATGTTTTATTTGTTTTGCCTTTAATGATGGATGACTAAACAACATGAAGGTAATACATTGAAAGCAGAGGCTCCATAGTCTAAAACAAGACATCCAGCTCTATAGCACCCACTTTGTCAAGGCCTAAGAGCCCTAGACATAAACACTGCACCACTGTATACCAGAGAGTATCTACAGTAGCATATACATCTGGAACAACCGGAGAACTGTTAACTGTGGAAACTACCCAGAAAAAGAGGCCCGTTGACAAAGTAGGCAAATAAAAGAAGGAAGGTTTAAAACTGTTATTTCTTCTAAGCCAGATGAGTAACTAACAACACCTGGCCATGTTGCTTACAATATGAACAAGCAGATTAAAAACGTGCACATGTGGGCAAAGTTGTGGAGAGTTTTGCACTCGAAACTCTTGTGAAATTGTGCCAAACTCTTAACACACATGTAGCAACATGTGTCAATGCGTGGCAGCACATTCATTCTGCTGTGATGCATTGTGTTAATTGAGCAGCCCATCACCATCGGACAAGAACTTTTGCAGAGCGAAGTCAAAGCCATCTGGCCTAGTCCTCATTAAAGCGCTGTTTAAGTGAAGTGCTCCCTTAATAGCTTCTTGACTGCACGTTAGCAACCTCAGCTTGTAATCCTCAACGTTTCCCTGCTCGCCTTCAGTCAGATGTCAGACTGAGTCATTAAAAGAGATTTGTAACAAAGCCTGTGACATGGCTGCCACACACTTTCCACACCAGGGACTTCAGAGCAGGCCTGTGTCCCCCACACGTTCCCTTACTGTTTATGGCACTACAGAGCACTTGAGGAAGCACTATTGTCTGCAGTCTTGGTGACACTGCTGGACAAAAAGCCCCTACAGGGAATGGAATGTGAGGTACGATTATACAGTAATACTGTGGGTAGTACTGTAGTATTTGTGCACATATGACGATGCCTGGCAGTCACATTGCAGGGCATACCACTAACAAAGATGACCAAAAGTCGTTATAATGATGACACAAAAAACATGAGGATAAAAGCACCTCGAGGTGTTAAGCCCTGTTTCAAATATATTTCCTGCTGTAACACACATATAGGGTAGATGGGATGTTCTTGTATATACTGGAATGTATGTAGTTTCATTTACTGTTTGACCAATTGTGTTCTGTCATACAAGGGCTTGGGACAGAGTGGGTCTGTGGGATGTTGGGAAAGACATGTATCAACCACTGGGTTTTCTTTGTTGTCTCCGTCTCCCAGTCTGCCCTGACTGCACCGCACAACACAGTGTAAAGCTCACACCACATATCTACTGCAGAGATAAACAAGTCAAAAAGTGCTTTTAAATTGTATTCCATCGCTTTCAATTGTGCCACTCGGTGTCTGCTAGGATGGTACAATTATTTTGTGAATGATAAAATGCCAAATTAAGGGGTTATTTATATGAAGATATATATAAATAAATGAATATATATATATATTATATATATTAGATATAATGTGTAGTTTAAGAATATTATGTTTGTTAGAGGCTTTGTTGCACTATAGTGGAATGTTTTTGTTGTGTGATTACATGTAACCTTTGGCTCTCTAGTTTGTCAAAAAGCCGATTATTTTTGCAGAGCAAGTCACCGATTTCATTTCCTCAGTTTCTACTGTATCTCCTCTTTGTTTTCTATTTGAACTGTAGCTTGTCAATAAACCATTCTGTGCGTGTTTTTGTATTTATATTGTATTGTTGAACTTAAAGCAATGAAAATACTGTTGTTATCCAGCTCCTTTAATACTGTTTTATAGTATGTGTACCAATAAATCCAGGTGTAAAACGGGACATGATGAAGAGGCTCATTTTTGTTTCATCCAAGTATATTTTGTTGTTGTGTCAGAATATGATCCTCCTGTTTATATAGGTTGTATATAGTCCTACTGGTGTGTTGAACACAGTAGTGCTTAACACTTGATATTTCATATTTGTCTTTGACCCATCATTAAAACATTATTCAGATCCAAGATTGTTTAAGCTCTTACTCCCTTCAGAATCATTTTGAATGGAACATGTTTTAAGTGGTGTCATACTGTATTAGCGTGCAACGCCCGCGCACTTATTTTCCAGACAATGAATACTGCGGTCTAATCACATTCAACAAGTGCAGGATCATTCAACATCGCAGATCCACTCGTGAGGCTGTTGATTGTCATTATAAGCAAAGTATTTCCATTTGAAAGACGAACAAAGCGTGGGGTTTATGTTTGCGTTGCCTGGCAACTCCGTGGCTGCCCTCTTCACTATATAACAGAGGTGATGTGTTGTTTTTCTCAGCACTCGTCCCGTTTTTAGGAGAGGGTTCCAAACCTGCTCCATATCCTTTATAGCTGAACTTGATCTGATGAGAAGCCCATTTCAGAATCATGCTCAAGGCTCAGGGAAAGTCCAATGAGCAAACAGGCACTAAGATCCTCCTGGAGGCGATGTCCAAGGATAAAGTCCACCTGGCCAGGTTCGTTCTGGACGCGCTGGATGGGGAGATTGTGGACTGCAAAACAGAGGACGCACAGACCCCCCTTATCTCCTCCATCCTGCTGCCTGATGGCCACACTCGGTGTAAGTTTGTAGAGCTTCTGCTGCAGAAAGGCGCCAGTGTGAACTGTCCAGACGGAACCGGGCGCACCGCGCTCAGTTACGCATGTGAGCAAGGCTCCCTAGACGCTGTGAAGATCCTGGTCCGACACAATGCAGACCCTGAGGTTGTGGACGTGTGGGGGAACACTGCGCTAATGTATGCCACAGTTTCAGGGCACTCCCATGTGGTAGAGTTTCTGGTGAGATCGTTCAAGAGGCTGGGTCTTCGGATAGACAGGCAGAATAAAGTTGGAAACTCTGCAATTGAAGTAGCGAAGTTTCTCGGTCACACAGAGTGCGTCTTTGCGCTCACAAACAGTTTCAAGAAGAACCGGGAAGCTCAGGGAAATGCGCAGCCGCGACTTAGTTTGGGAAGTGTTGATGTTAATGACACGTTTGGAAGGAGAGTTGGAAGTGTAGTGAATAAACTTGAGGATTTCCAAACGTGTGATCATGCTGATTGTTTATTGGTTCCAAATTGGAGTTGGCCAACAAGACCGAGGGTAAAGCAGAGTCGGCTGCCGTCGATGGACTCTATAGAGGAGTTTGAAAGAGAGCAGGACGCTTCCTCCTCGCCTCCACAGCTGGTCTTCTCCGGAGTCCTAACCCCTAAACCTCCTCCGCGCACTTCAGACCACCACAACAACTTTACGCACCCTAAAACTGGCGATGACCACCTCCCCCTACCTAAACTGAGCTGTGAGGCTCAAACATCATATTTTCCCAGCGGAAACATCCACAGACCCAGCGCGCCCTCCGCCCTGGGCATCCTACTGTCTCCCATTCCTTCCAACAAAAGCGAGGCTGACTCAGTGACAGACACATCTAAAACATTAGAGTTTGGTGTGCGCAGATTTTGTGACAGCTACTATGAGAAAAGGTGTAGTCTGCCAACTAGTATCCTCAGACCCACACCTCCGGACCGAACACTAGTGCCTGTGCGTAAATCCAGAACCGTGAGGAGGCGCGAGGCGTCTCCCTGTAGGGCTGAACCTCCTCCGTTCACCGCACTAACTTCCACTACTTCAAACACGACCTTCTCGGTGCTGAGCAACAAACTCTTGCGCCGGTTCACCTCCCCGGAGATTAAAAAGAACCCAAAAGAGTTGGAGGAGAGTCCCATGTTGGCTTCAGGGCGGATTCCGCGATCAGAAACTTCTCCTCAGTGCAGAAAACACCCCCAAGTGGACAGTAAACCCAGCATTGACAGCATCAGCTCGGTCAAGTGCGAGTTTGGCATTTTTAAATAAAAATGCCACTGTGCGTAGAAAGTGTTTTGCCACTTATGTCAAGATTCTAACGTTACTTTTAGACCTAGTTACATACAACTTTAAACACTTTGCCCAAACGTGCGTAGATGCCAGCTCCTGCCAGGAGGATATTGCAGCCACAGAGTGAAACGCGATGTAAAACTTGCAGTTTCAGTGTGTATGGTTCAGCCCTTACAGAATGGGCGGGGCTTCCATCGAAGGTGGAAGGGTGATAATAAATACACAATTAGTCAATTCAGCATTTACTCATGTTGTGCTACAATATTTCATATGTTTCTGTTATCATATTATTCTTGAATTATGTAAGATGTTATATCATCTTTCATGATTGTATTGGTGGCTAACAGTAAATAAAATGTCACTTTCTGAAATGAACTGTGTCCTGAGTGTGACAGAGAGAACACAAATGCATTATCAAATCAACATTGGTGCAGCAAGACAACAAATGTGGTTCCAGTGCCAGTTTTTAACTTGTATAACTTCTGAGAATTTTAAAATGTGTAAGTGTATTTGTAAAATTGTATAAAATCTCACTCTGTTGAATAATACTTATAACATATATTCATTATAATATTTAAAGTCTCCATATTAGATTTGTGCAGCATAACTCAGCTGCAACCTTGCAGAAGTGGAGTTTGCAGGAGGGAGGGGGTGTTGTCGGCATTACCCTCTAGACATACATCATTTCAGCCCAACCTACAGCTGCTGCACAGAGATGGACACTACAGCATTGCGGGGATAAGCGAGACTGCATGCCGAGTCCTTCTTTACAAGAGAGTAATTCAGGTTTCCAACTTTTTCTTCAAGAACGATCATTAATCCTGATGCTAATGATGTGCAGAAGGGGCTCAGTCCTGCAGCTGTCACTGGGTTAAACCCCTTCAACCTTGGAGAAGGCACTCTGTTTGGCCGGCCAAAACTCCTCAGAGCCGGCTGCTCCTGCAGAGCAAACCGGATCTCACGTCCAACCTGGAGACAATTTTTGCTGCATTCAGGATGATCTGAGCGTGACTGCTGGGTGCTGAGTGGAGGCATCCCCCCCTCTCTCTCTCTTTTCCTTCCTTCCTCTCCCGCCTCCCCTCTCTGTCTTTCTTTCTCTTCTTGTCGTGGGTTCAGCACGGGCTGCCCAGTAGTTTAGCCCCTTTTTTTCAGCGCTGGGAAAGCTGGTAGCGATGGGACGACTCGATTTCAGCACCACGGAGAGCGCCCGGCTTCTGCTGCTCGCTGTATTCGGTAAGGGAGTGTGTTTAGTGTGTGTGCAGCTGTCGTGACTCTTCACTGCAGTGAGTGTGTGTACGTGTATGCGTATTCACATTATGCGCGTGTTTAGGCATGACAGAGTCGATGTGTGTGGAATATTTCACATGTTATTTCCTCCTTAAATGAATATAAAAGTCGTTCAACGTGTTCAGCACTTTCTGACGTTGTTGAGACTGCAGCCAGTGGCGTGCTGTTGCTCCCCTGATACTGCAGATTTCCCTCTCCGGGGTTTTTACCTGACTTTGCCGTATAAGGAAACAGTGGTGATCTAAAGATGTGAGCTGAATCTAAAATATGACCATTATGCCGCTGTATCTGCTGGTTGTGCATGTGTTGGGATGTGTGTGCCCCTTCTGATACCCCGCAGACATACATTAGCCCCACCTGCGACTTCTTAATATTCTGTGCGGCTCTGTTGCCAGGTGTGCTGGCGCTGTCCGTGGTGCTGGCGGAGCAGGAAGGGGAGAACCTTTCCGGTCTCTCCAACAACCCGGACAAAGCCATCTTCGCCGTCCGGGAGAACGGCACGACATGCCTGATGGTGGAGTTCGCCGTGAGATTCCTCGTGCCATATGACGTGCTCGCGCTCAATGGGATAGACGTAAGGAATCCCCCGAGAATATTAATACATGTGGATGTGCATGATTTAGTCAAAATAATAAACGCAATGGTTGTTTCAAGCAATCTTGCGTAAAATATTGCTGTATGCTGAATACATGACAAGGTTTGCTTGTCGTGCGTAAAGGTAAACATATTTTTTTACATGCAAAATATTTTTGCCGTTTATTTCAATTGCGGGTTTTTTTGCGCTTATAAGAAAAATGCACGTTAGAATTATAATGGGAAACTGCTTTCGTATAGTGTGTAGTTGTGCTGACCACGTCAAACCCATCATCAAGAAAATAAAATATTGTTTTAAATATCAAACTTATCATTATATATATTTGGACTTGTTATTGTTTCTGCTTATAAAAACTACTAATTATTTGCTGCTTTTTGCATATTGGGTTACACTATTCAGTCGTGCGTAAAAATGGAATGCTTAAAACCAGCGACATGAATCCGTAATGTGTCCCCAACTCTTTGCACGTGCTTTCTGTGTGTGTTGCAGCTGATCACGGAGCAGGCGGCGTTCACTCTGCCCCGAGGTGCAGAAATCGAGGGGACATGTGGGAGCACGGAGTCAGAGATCCAAATATCCTGGAAGAACAACGCCTACACCCTCCGCATCTACTTCTCTAAGGTGGGCGAGTCAACGACAATGATGCTGTGCAATTTAAAACAAATGAAAGCATCTCCTGGAAACATAGCAAAACGCCAACCCACACTAAATAATATACGCTTTCAGACATGTGATGTCCTATTTTGGTTGGGAAATTAATCATGATGCAAGAATCGCCTGTTTCCTGAATTAAGTCAAATAAAATAAATGAAAAGCCTCGTCATGATGGATTGTTCTTCTGATTGAAAGCCAACGCGGCCTCTTCATGCAGGGGGGAAGCCGAGTTTGACACGCGCATGTGTGTGTGTGTGTGTGTGTGTGTGTGTGTGTGTGTGTGTGTGTGTGTGTGTGTGTGTGTGTGTGTGTGTGTGTGTGTGTGTGTGTGTGTGTGTGTGTGTGTGTGTGTGTGTGTGTGTGTGTGTGTGTGTGTGTGTGTGTGTGTGTGTGTGTGTGTGTGTGTGTGTGTGTGTGTGTGTGTGTGTGTGTGTGTGTGTGTGTGTGTGTGTGTGTGTGTGTGTGTGTGTTACAGGAGCTCCGTGAGAAAGACATTGAGGTCTGGAAGATAAGCAAGGTCCAGTTCGTCTATGACTCCTCTGAGACATCGCATTTCATCAACGCGTACAACCGTGAGTCCCCCGCCGAGCGCATGTACATGTATTATTACACAACTTTCTAAATCAATTAAAATTGATTATTTTATTTAAAAAATGTCATTGCCAACTGTTTGGTTTTTATCTTCTTTTTAATTCATGGACAATTATGGGATATCATTTTCACATAGGCCCCTACCTGGAAGCAAATGACAGACTTTAAAACCGTCCACAGGTGCATTTACATTACAGTGCCTTCGTTCTTAATTCACTTGAGTTCTTGACCCATCTTTTCTCTCCAGCGGGAAAGCACACAGCCAGCACCCACCACCTGTCGGCCCTGGTGACCCCCGCAGGGCAGTCATATGTGTGTGCAGCTCAGCAGACCCTCACCCTCATCTCAAGCGACCACCAGAAGGGCATCACCGTCTCTATGTATGACGTCCAAATCCAGCCCTTCGACATCGCCTCTGACTTCATGTTCAGCGAAGGTAAGAATATACACCACAGCATCTCTATGAGAAACGCTGCACACACTGTGATGAAGACGAGAAACACATATCTCTCTCTCTGGTGGGTATTGCTGCAGTTTGAGGAGCGCATGGCTTCAGGGGGACAAGAGAAAAAAAGAAGGTGGTAATGCAAGGGAGACAAAGGAGACGCAAAGAGACAAAGAGATAAAGGGTGGGGAGACCTCAGGACTTTATGAGTGCAGTCATATCCTTTACCTCAGTGCAGCTTTTATAGACCTTGCTGTCCTCTGAAACCAATCACCTTGGAAGAATCATTTGCTCTGAGCTGCTGTAAACTAGGCTGTGCTTTGCTTCACTGCCTCCCTCCTTGTGTGCATTACTGCTGTCCGCAGGGAGGAACACATTCAACTTCAAACCACGCAGCTGTGTTTAGCTGTCCCCTTTACAGACATACACAGATGCGTGCATGCCAACATGCCCTTAAACTAAGCACAACATCTAAATAGGAGAAATGAGAGAAGAAGCATCTGTGTGAATATTGCGTCAGTGCACAACACAACTGCACGTTGTGTTGTCAAACCTCTTTCAACCAATACTGATGCTGCCTGACTTACCCTATGAAAGGGCAACATGATGGGTGTGTGGTTCACACTACAATCTGCCAGGGTTTGGCCATTGACTTGCGCACGCCTGGTTGTTTTTTAACGAGTTTGCATGAAATGTGTTTTCATAATGCACTGCCACGTCGCATCGGATGTTTAATGCAATAAAGTGCGTCTGATGGTATGCCATGCATCTGACAAAACTCTTTACATGCGCAACAAAAACGTTCCAACTCCTTTGGTTACTTAGTCATTTAATTTAAAAATCATTATATTAAATATATAAGTGAAAGGCATTCTTGATTAATTGACTCGTCAGCCATTTTGTCAATAAATTAATTATCTAAGTCCAAATCCTCTAGTTTCAGCTTCAATTTATATTAAATAATAAAATCTATTAAATATTAATATTATAACATCATATTTTCTTTATTATTTGACTTGTTCAGACAAAATGTGAGTATGACATGATCATCCCAATATTATTCAATTAAAAAGAAAACAATATTTAATATCACCCAGCCTGAAAAGGGGTACATATGAAATCTGAATAAATGTACCCACTCCCTCTGGGACCCTTGTCACGAATGTTCTGTCCCCTCAGCATACTAATTGTGTTTCCCCTTTCTGCAGCCTACAAGTGCATCACTGACCAGCGGGAGCGCCTGGAGGAGACCCTCCCCCTCATTCTGAGTTTCATTTTGGCCCTTATAATCGTCATCACAGTCGTGGTCTACCACTTCCACCTGAAGCTGACAGCGGTCCAGCCCGTGCTGCCCAGAGATCGCTCCATGTACAAGAACATGTAGCCAGCTCTCTCCGAAGCTAATGATGAAAGACTTGTCTCTTTGAAGTCCCCGGCCTAACACGATGGACTGAAACCCTGACGGAGAAGTGTGTGTCGCCTGTACTGAAGGCCTACTGGAACTTTTGAACAGCTAAGACACAAGTTAATGGGACAGCTTGGGGCCTAGCATGGATATAGTTGCAGGGTAAACTCACCAAAACCTAATTTACCTGGCAGAATTGAATCTTAAGGCCATCAAATCATAGTCTGTACTTGTGTAATTAGATTTCAATGAAAGTATACCATACATTATTTTCTGAATGTATGCGGAAAATATAATTGACTTCTGTTCAGGTCTGTGGTTGTTTGTCTGAGACAGTTATTATATTTTGATCTGATTTCTCTTTAAAAGAAATGTCAGAAATGGCCAGAGCTTCAGCTGTCATTTTCCAACTCTCTGTTGTCTTTTCCTCTCGTTCTCTCTCTGGAACTGCTGCTAAATAATTCATGACCTATTGGTGGTTCTGTATTTGCTAGTCTTTCTTCAAGATTTCCTTTTAGTTCTTTTTGAATGCAGCCATAGTGTTTTGAAATCCTTGTAGTGTGTGTGCAGTACAGTGGCATTCAGAGTTGCAATGTGTTTGACTTCTCAACACTAATGTATGGAACATATCAAAAAAAGGGAAGACATATAAAAAACATCTGAAAAGATTCTGTCCTAAATAGTGGAGAATTTTAAAGAATGCTATACGAAAGTGTTTATGAAAAGAGAGGTTATTGTAAAAAAAAAGAAAAAAGTAATATGTGTATAATATTTTTCAGAATCAAAGTCTATGCATAAACCTCTGCTGATGCAATCTTGTGCAGTATTCTTCTGTTCATTGAAATAAATGGAATCATCTCTACAAACATGTGAATGTATTACTGTTATCTATCACATTAGCACAATCTCTTCCATCTTTCAAGTGTAACACCATTTTATTTGTTGTTGGAAAACAATCTATCAAGACTACAGAGTTTTAATAGAACACAGCTGCTTGAAAAAGCTGGTGGATACTCCCGTCAAAGAAGATGCAGTAGAAATGAGGCATCGATTTTGTCATCTGATACTGGACTTTTGTAGGTAATGTGATATGATTAAGTGTAATTGATCAGAGCATTTCTGTCAGCTACACCTGTTTGTTTCAGAAGTATAGCCGTCGTCACACATCACCCTCAGTCAAGTCAGTAAAGTCAAAGACCTTCTTCCAGTTTTTCACTCACACAGAAATGATATAGCAGAAATTGTCTTTTCGTTAGGAAATCAATCAATAACAAGAATCAATGTATAGTGTGTCTTAAAAAAGTCACAGGCTAGTATGTCATAAAAGTATCATGAAAACATCATGGGAAGGTATACGTCGTATAAATGTAAGAAAGTCAAACGATAGTAAATCATAGAATATTTTAGGAAGTCATTCTATACTACATGTTTGTTTACAAAAAAGCTATGCCAGAAAGACAAAGTCAGAATAGTATAGTATTATATAATATATATTTTAATATACATTAAGGGAGTAAGTATCATATTATAGTATTTTGAAAATATAATTTTAAAAAACTGCATAGGATAGTATATCAAAAATACTTAGTATAGTATGTCGAAAATATCATACAAATTACATGGTATAGTATGCCCAAAATATTTTTAATAAAACGACATAGAGTAGGCTAGTATGTTTCAAGAAACGACATAGTATAGTATATCAAAAATATCATGAGAAATTACAGTATGTGGCAAATAACAGAAAAACCAACATAGGACAGTGTCCAAAAATATAAAATAGTACCGTATGATGAAAAAATATCATTAAAAAAAACATATGTCCAAATGATCAGATAAAAAACACATATTATAGTATGCTAGTGTTATGCCTACTGGATTTCACCCTCTGTAACTTTGGCCTGGGTGGTCTCACCAAAATCACTGTTATTACACTCTAGTTTACACAAACAAAAGCATTTTACTCTTGGTTCATAGTGAAATGTTAAAGGAGGGTGATCATCGGATAAGGGTTAACTTTGAGGGCTGCTCCTGGATGGTTGGTACTTCTGGTTAATCAAACTATGTTTTTCTCTTATTTCTTGATTTCTTGAGAATTCAAACTATGTTATAACACTCTTTTGTATAGATAAACATGTACGGGGAACAACATAATCAAATCAAATCATAGGTGGGTGAGTTCAAAGTGATTGATTTCTGATGGAAGGCCCCAAAGGCCACATTACAACCAAACAAAGGAGAACTTCTCATGATACTGTATCTACAGGTGTATAGAAAAGCACATCAACTATCGTTTTGACCGTATCATAAAACCACCAAATAATTAAATGTTAATACATCCAGAAAGACCAGAGAAATTACAAATGCAGCTGACCTGAACAGAATTAATTATTCACGGCTGAGGTGGATATGGCAATTACGAACAATGGTGGCCATGGTTAAGGCAACAGGGGAAATAAGTTTAGGCCAGCTGTCAACAACCTGGACCAAAATGTGTAATGAAACAGCTCATAAACCCAACACATTATAACTGGGCCTAAAACAGTCAGAAACACAGTTGTCAGCAGGCTAGTTCTGATGGGCAAAGGCAGCACAGAGGGAAGCTATATAGGGTATGCCAAGTACCAAGTACGTTAGCCAAAAGTACAAACAGGAAATACAGTAGGCTCATCTCCATTGAATATTTCACCTCCTCCTTTCCCTCACTCGCGTCCCTTCCTTGCGTCTTAGCTCCGCCTCCGTAAGACGCGAGCGAGAGACGTGAGGACAGAGGAGTCCTCAGGTATTAATTGGGATGTCCTCGTTCACTCCAGCGTCACCATAAACAACACCCTTTACTTCTGGCTTGCGCACAGTTTTATCACCTGTCACTGGACTTCCCTCCACATAAATCCCTTCAAACCTGGGATTTAGTTTCACATTGAAATGATTTCGTCCATCTCTTCCATTCATCTCTTTTATTATAGTTTTCTATGTATTATTTTTGGTCCTGTATTTGTTTTTCCAGGTATAACATTTCATTTAAAGGTGGGGTAGGTAAGTTTCAGAAACCGGCTCGAGTGCACTAACATTTGAAAGTACACAGCCGAAAAGAATCCGCCCCTTCCTTCAGACTTCCTTACAGAGCACCTCCTCCAACACACATGAACGCGCACGTGACGTCAGCAGACTGGTGAAAGTGGCCGCCTGTTGCTGGCGAGTAATGCAAATGTATGCCCAATGAGGGCACGAGATACATTTGTGCGTGCACGAGATGGAAGGCTGACAGACAGGGCGGCAATCCAATCCAATTGGTTGTACTTTTTACAGTATTACGGCTTCCACAGATGACATTTTTTTAATGGATTTTTTGTCAAAGCACTTAAGATATTCATTGCTATTGGGATGTTAAGAGCATTCCATGGAATATAACACAAAGTGTATCTCGAGCCGGTTTCTGAAACGTACCTACCCCACCTTTAAGTTATAATTATAATCATAACAATAATAATAATTGGATGTTGTTATTTAATTTGTCCTACAGAAGAGAGACACAAATCGCTAAAATATGTATTAGTTATTACCCGTATTTGTATATATCCTAAATGTCTGACGTGTTGTGGGTCTACCAAACATGCATCACAAACCACAAGTAAGAACTGTAAGTTATTATTTTATAATCAAAACATTATTATTGAATTTGTAAGTATATTTCACACACTTTAATGTTTTTATAGAGTATGATTTCCTCATTCGTACCTGTTAAGCCCCGAGCCTGTTTTCCAGGTTTCAGGCTCGAAAATGACAGTCCCAGAACAAATGACCATGACTTCACTTCTAAAAGGGGACAATTAATATTCTTTTTTCTCAAAGCAATGATAAACCTGTGAGTTGGATGTAGAAGAGTCAGAGTCAATATAGATCTTTTTTTATTTTTAAAGTAAATTCAGATTGAACATAGTAAAAAAATGTAAATGATAGTGTCCGTCCAAAAAAACAACATTACTTATAGTGAAAACCACCCTTGAATGATGGGATCGGAGAATAAAAGCTTTAGGAATCCAAACTATAACATATAATAAGTACCCTGTATCAAGATTGATGCAAAACAAGTGCAAGTTGACCTTTTTAGAGAGATTTAGCAAAAAACCCACTTCTGGGGTCATTTGGGTGCATCTCTGGCCCCCCTTGGTCGATTTTGATGATTGACATCTATTTTTAACCTAGAGCCAATAGAATCGAGGGGAAGTTCCACATACACACACGTTACCAAATAAGGAGTGAGAGTGCCACGTAGCCAAAACAGGAAGCTGTCATACACTCTGGAAGCTATCATTAGCAGCTAATATGAAAACTCCGTTTTTGACATAAAAATAAAATGATGGATTATCATAATTTTTTCAAAGTGACAGACACATTCAATTAACCTATGGATTAACCTTCAGCCGTGTTTTTCTCGTTTTAATGCCATTGAACACAACTTTTGATCAGAATAACAGCAAAAGGCGAGCATATCTCCGTGTTTTGCTACCTAAAGCTACGTCGTGTGTTGTCTGTATTTGCTTCCCCTGTTGCGAGTTCTACTCGCTCCGTGATGATACTTATATTTCTAGAATCCGTGGAATCTCAGCTTGTTAGCTAAGCTTGTTTGTGCAGATCTGATATATATATATAGTATATCGATCGATTTATACCTAGAGTTCTGTGCTAAGTCCGTTAGCATGTTTTCGCTCAGGGCTCATTTAGACCCTTCTTGTGAGACTTGTGTTTTGTTTCGGTAAAAATGGTTCGTATTGTCAGTTAGCTGAGTTTCTTCCCGTTAGGATGTATTGGTATGACACATTCATAGTTTTTTAAATATTAAGAAGCCCTGAGACACAGTGTCGTGAAAAAAAGCAAAGAAAAAAAGCCCCGCCGGTGGGGTCATTGGGGCTTAACAGGAGATGTAATATATTTTACTCTTAATGAAGCACTTTAAACATTTACTGACTCTGATCCTCGGTAAGATCAGCTGCAGTGAGCAGAGGCTGTGCAGCTGGGGGCGGAGCTCTGATGCGCGAGTCTGCTCTCGTGTATCCTCCCTTTCGTCTCCTCTGGAAGCCTCCTCCCTCACCCCTCCTCGTTGACTCCTCCGTGTGCATTTCAGCGATTGGGACGTCCTTCAACATGGCGTGTCTTGATCGATTTCCGGGTCAAGTCCCGGAGGAGGGGGAGAGAGGAGTCGAGGAGGGACATTGAGATGAACCTACTGTCTCATTCTGAAGACTTACCTGTTGTTGAGCTTCATTTATATCTTCCCGCCTGGACAACATTTTTAATTTTTCTTTATCCTTTCTTCTAAAAACTCAGCAACATGAACATGACCTTAGTCCTTGACCCGGTGAATAGTCGGTAAATTGATGTTTTCCATATGCTAACTAGCTTAATGGGCTAAAATAGACAAACAATGTCAAAGTGTTCAAAAAAACCAATCCATATTTAGACCTTTAACTGTCTATCATGATACTCGTCGTGAAAAGTGTTTAAAATATGTCATACTTGACATGAAAGGGAACACACATCATTAATGACGGCTCTGCTGCATTCAAGTGTTACGGTAACTTACGTCTTTACCTACAGTATACAAATGTTATACTTTTTATTTATTTGTTCAGTTTTATTTATTTGACATTGCCTAGCCTATATAATGTCAACATCCAAAAGACTTGCCAACAATATAACTTTCAACAATATACTAAATCTCTTAATTGTATTCAGATGTAGGCTATTAGTGTTAGTTTTGCCTATAAAAGTTACACTGCCTCTCACAAAACACCTCAGGTTGTTAAAATAAATGACCTTACTGTTATAAATGGTAGCTTTGGCCTTGAATTAAGCTATTCATTGATCAAGTGTGCTTTTACTTTAGTAAGGTGTCAACATGTCTGCTGTGAAAATAATTTAAAAACAACAATGCTGGCAATTTTAAGCTTGTGCAAGATTGCCAACAAACCTTTTTAGGTAACAATTGATAATCTCGAGTCTCCTATACCAATAAAGTGATGCTGGTTCTGTGTTGAGCAGTTGAGTGTGGTCTTTTGATATGTGGATGTATACTATTGACCTTAATAGTAACTCAGTGGCTCTACAGTCATGAGTTTGATGCCCTGCAGTCCCACTGGCCTCAGGTACTTGTGCTTTATTTACTGGGCCTGTCAGCAGAGGTATCTTTCTCTGAGAAAGAAGCTCCATTCTCTGTCCAAGTTAAATCAATATCCCATTACAGTGTTTCAGGGGGAAATGGCTTAGAGGAAAGAAAGAGAAATAACCTCATATATTATGGCAACGGCGATCCATGGATGTGTCTTCCTGCCTTCTGTTAGGAGGTGAAGTTAGGGTGAAATCGTTGGAAATGAGAACTGTTGAGTTAAGAGAATATGGAAGACCCAAACAACAAAGAGAAAATAAACTGTTGATGACTGAGAGGAACTCCCTTGAATAATCTGACTGTAAAAAAAAAAATCTCTGCTTGGTATGAGATACAGAGAAGAAGAGGAGACTGTAGAGGGTAATGAAGGAAAAATCCATGCAACACATCTCAATGTTTTTATGGGCGTTTTTTTTAATTGAAACCAGCTTCACTGATAACAAACATGCAATATCACTGTACAAGCCAACACCACAGATAAGTGTTACTCATTCAAGTCCTGACACTTTGTCAAGGATTAGCCAGCAGCACACACACGCACACACTTTCAGATGTTGTACAGAGATAAACACGCTCTACCTCTTTTGCTCTTTGACATACATACAGAGATACACACACACACACACACGTATACACAGTCATATTTACATATCACAGTGAATGATGGGTAAAAACGATGCGGGAGGAGGATTACACTGTTCTCCTGACCAGAGATGAGAATGGCAGCACAGTTCCAGTGATAGCGAGTAGTGTGTCTGACTGAGGTGGGATAAGGAGTGAGATGATGACAGTGAGGATGTGAGTAGAAAACGAGACCTTTTATCAGCATCCGAAAATCTGCGCGGGAGGCGGGCGTCTTGGATGGGCGCCTCTTAGCATTTACAGAAACAGGATGAGACTCCTAATATAAAAGAAAACAGGTCTGCGTGGAGTAAATCTTCTTTTTTTTGTCAAATCCACTCCATCTGTGCTACATTTAAATGCATGGCGTAATTACAGTATCATAAATACAGGGCATCATGGTTCATAAATAAATTTGGGGTATTGCTTGGATGATATAACAACTGACAGCACTGTCTGCGATGCACTTTTAGAAATGTAAATCAAAAAGCCAACAAGGAAACATAACAAAACAAACAAAAAGGCCACACTACCAAAAAAATAAACCTTCAATTCCAATAATAAATAAATACTTCAAAACGTCATACAAAATTCTGTCATTACCCTTTTTTCCAACATTTAATGGAAGTTCTGTCTACAAATGTAAGATAATAAATATATTTAGTATTTTTAGTAACAGTTAAGGTGGGTTTATTTGGGTTTCTCTTATATCTTTAAGCAAAAACTGGATTATAAACAGTAGGAAAGATCTCTGCAGAAACTCTATTTAATACTGCTCATATCACAATGGTTACGACACGATAAAATACTGCAAATTATCAAAACTGTACAGAAAAACTTACAAGTTTCTCTAAAATACATTTTCACTGTTAGTGTATGAGGAGCGATACGAGAGAGGTGGTCTCTGTTTGAGCAGCAGCCGTACAACAGTCATTACCAGTCAGAGCCCACTCTGGCACAGATGATTGTTCTGCCCTCCACTGCTCTGGTCTGGAGCGGAGACCTCCACTACGTCAGCAGATCAGCACAGCCCTCTGAAGCTCTTGCTGATGGCTTCTACAACTCTACATGGAGCTGCAGACTTCAAAGTGAAGGAAGAGAGAAGACTGCAGCAGGGCGAGTGAGCCCACACGTGTCTACTGGACGTCCAGCGAGTTACTCTTCTACTCCAGTTCAGTTTCAACAAGACTTCTTTTCTCCATTGTCTGTTTTTAAATGTAATTTCTCAAATATTCCTCTAGCTAATCTACTTCACGGTAACAGGTGTGAGTGTTAGTGACGCGCCACCGAGCGCTGGGGGTGGATAGCTGGGTGAGTGCCACCCTGCTAGTGTGTGTATGTGTGTGTTTTTTAGTGTAGAATAGGGCAGGTTTTGGGGCCAGCAGCAGTTCAGCGGTGGCGATAGTGTCTCATGAGGGGCACGATGCAGGAAGGGGGTCCGGACATCTTGAGGAAGGGGTGCTGGAGGAGCTCCTGGGCCGTGGCTCTCTGCGAAGGCTCCCGCACCAGCATCAGGTCCAGGAAGGAGCGCAGCACCGAGGACACCTGAGGACACAATAGAGGGTGTAATCTAGTCCTGAATTTGGCTTTGATTGTAAAGGGAGGTTTATTACACAAGAAACTAATTAGATTAAGAACCGGCTATTTGAATCATGGTTTACATCAGGGGTGTCAAACTCAAGGCCCGCGGGACAAATCCTGCCCGTAACTTCATTTTGTGTGGCCCGCTTTACAGAAGCATGTTGCCCATAAACTACATTTCCCACAATGCATCTCATTTTGTGACATGCCACAAAAGAGACTTGCAGTTATTTGCAATTCTTCGCCCTGGATTTCTGCTTTCAGACGTAGTTAATTATGAAGTTATTACCCTATCCAATAATAATAATCCAAAGCAGAGGCAATAATGTAATATAATATATAATTGTATATATATTAAATATTTATATATGTATATTTATATAGTCTTAAAGTTACAACCGGCCCTTTGAGTGCAGCCATAATGCTGATGTGGCCCGTGATGAAAGTGAGTTTGAAATCCCTGGTTTATATGATAAGGCTGAATGGTTTAGACAAATATGTAATTGCTATTATTTTGGCTGGTATTACAATTACTATATTATTTACAATATTGGAATGATCATGACTTCTCGTCAGCACCAGATTCCATAATGTTCTGCCTATTACACCTCCTACGATTTGTATATTGCACCTTTCTATATTGCAATGTTTGCTAAAATGTCATCAGGGTGTTATAATTGTCATTGTAAGCATGCTGACATAGCCTTAATTCAAAGCACTGCTTGTTTGAATGGCAGCCTCAGAGAGCTGAAAGCATGGCTGTAAACTCTTTGTCTGGTTTAAAGACACCCTGCCAAACAGCATACTAATCAGAGGGGCAAAGATTTACTGACACTGGCTGTTATTTCTGGTTCACACACAAAGAGTGAAACGGTACCAGGCCTTCTACATAAGAGAAAACCTAAACACAGAAGAAAACTAGTAAGTATCCAATAATAAAGTAGGTCCTTTGTAGCATGACCTTCTACAAAAAGTCAGGACACAAATCACTAAATATTTCAGTGTAGTGTATCCCGCATCCGAAATGACCAGAAATGCAGCCAGGAAGGAAGATCCAAGATAAATGTATTATAAAATATGGTGAAGGTTTTTATTTATAAGTTTGTGTCTCTGTCCAACATGGTGATCAACATGAATATATATAACCACTATGGCCCCTAGTAGACCCCCCCACACACAACAACACAGACTATAACACCCCTTGTTGATAAATACAATGGGCAATATGTGCAATATATATATGCCGTTAATAACTGTGTAAAATATATCTGGCTGCTAGATCTTCAGAACTGTTACAGGATGTGTATTTTGTAAATTGTGTAATGTTTTTCTTTTCTTTATCTTTAATATTTTTTTTATGCATGCTTCTTAGTTAACATTAAGCTGTCTTTTCTGCTGTAACAAATGTAAATGTCCCCTCTGTGGGACGAATAAATGTATTCTGATTGTTGGTCATTGAGAGCAATCATATACTTCTTTCTGGAAGGATCCATTAATTATGTCTTGCATGTTTTCCTTTAGAATGTCCTTTCCCTGTGCTTACTGTCCAACAAATTTGCTGTGAAGTCTTTCTTACCTTGTGGGACTCTTTTAGCCGGGGGGGCAGGTTGTCTCGTATCCTCCTCATGGCCTGCAGAGGGGGTTCGTTAAAGTAGGGGGGCTCTCCGTCCACCATCTCGATAACCATGATGCCTAAAGACCAGATGTCCACCTGGATACACACACAAAATCCTTCATTCTCTGGACTGGAGCTAGCACATACAGCATCATACATCTCAATGTAAATCTTTGTGTGTGTAATCCTCACCTCAGTCCCGTAAGGCAGTCTAGAGATGACCTCGGGGGCCATCCAGTAGGGCGTGCCCACCAGGGACTTCCTCTTGGGCACCTCTTTGGAAACTTGGGCACAAAAGCCGAAGTCTGATAGCTTGATCTGCAAAAAACACACAAACAGTGCTGCCTTCAGGTTCCCCTCTTCAGCTTGTAGTTGTGTAGATTACATGAGTTCAGAACCTCTGTGTTTGATGTCAGGAAGAGCACTGACCCATTGTGATGAAGCGCGTTCATATAAGACACTAATCTCCTGTATTAGTGCTTAATTAGCCTTCAATTAATCATGTCTTATCAGCTCGTTAGGACGCATTAGGCAGGATTTAATTACAGGGCCACGTGTTGTAATTTATGATGATGAGTTGCTGGCACTGACTGTTGACAAGTGGCAGTAGTGGAACCCATGGAGAAGGTCAGGGAGTGTGTGTGAAATCACCGGTGAGAAGAACGAGGGTAACAGTTTTCAATACCTGGGTAAGATCCCAGTTTAAAAGGGGCATCTCCAGGGTTTATTAGCCCCCCAAAGGGAGTCATGTTAATGACCACAAATGAATAAACTCATCATGTGCACTTACTCTGCCATCGCTGGTCAGGAGAATGGAGTCGCTCTTGATGTCTCGGTGGATGACGCCCTGTGTGTGTAGGTAGGACAGAGCCCTCAGCACCGACAGACACACTGTAGCAATCTGCTCCTCGTTCATCCTGTAAGAAGACAGACACACACACACACATACCTGTCAGCAAATTAAGCTTGATTTCCTTTATTACTTTCAATTTATTTCATGTGTTTCAAAACCTACACATTGAATGCAAAGACATTTAGGGACAGTGGAACGTCACAAAGAAGCAGGGATTTATAATTGTTCGTTTGGCTGAGTTGAAGATATTCTTATTTATTTATGTGTTAATGGTTAAATGTAATATATCATGTCCTCCTGATTAAAGACATTGCAAACGTTCAATTATTATCATATATCATTTTGAATTATATTTATTTTCATAGCTTCAGATTAGGGGTGTAACGGTATCCGTATTCGTCCCGTACCGTCACGGTTCGGACGTCACGGTTCGGCACATGCAGTCACACGGCGAATACGCCTTTTTTTACGAGTGGGAAAAAAGTCTGTCACTCAGGGCAGTATTACACTATATATAATCCAGGGGGCGGTATTGCGCCTAAAAGCCAGCCGCCCGTAAATAACAAATGAAGAACAAGACCAAAACACAACAAAACGAACACAATACATGAAGAAGAACAGTTAGTAGCTATGGCGAGTTCACACACAACACACAGGAGCTAGAAGACCCACCTGCTTCTTTTAAATCAGGTGTGTGGGAACATTTTGGGTTCCCTGTGGACTACAACAATGATGGGGTGCGAGTTGTGGATCGGACGAGGACGGTGTGTCGGCGTTGTTCGACAGCGGTGCGGTATGCTAGTGGTAACACGTCAAACATGCTCAATCACATCCGAGTCAGTCTCAGTCCCCAGCGAGAGGGTTTTCTCGACGGCAGGTGACATAGTTACCGCCAACAGATCTGCCCTCACTACTGACAACGTAGATAAAGTCTTGAAAATAGAGTATAGTCTCACTTTTAAACTTCATATCAATAACCTGCTTAAAAAGCTGAGGGTTAGGCTAGGTTTATTCTACAGGAACAAGTCCTGTTTCTCGCTTGAGGCCAGGAAAAGGCTAGTCACTGTGACCTTTTTACCTGTGCTAGACTATGGTGATTTGATGTATATGAATCAGCGACGTGGAGGCAGAGCCTCACCTGTCATACTCCAATGTAACATTACATTACATTGCATTTAGCTGACGCTTTTGTCCAAAGCGACTTACAATAAGTACATTCGACCAGGAAGACACAACCTTGAAGAAAACAGAATCATATAAGTATATCAGGTTTCATAGAGCCAAACATTTCAAGTGCTACTCAACTGGCTTTAGGTAATCCAGTCCTTTATTGGTATAAAAGTGCTTCGTTAATCGTTCTAACGCTCGAAGTGGAGTCGAAAGAGATGAGTTTTCAGTTTGCGCCGGAAGATGTGCAAGCTATCTGCCGTCCTGATGTCAATGGGGAGCTCATTCCACCATCTTGGAGCCAGGATAGCAAACCCACGTCTTTTCGCCGATGGGAACTAACAGAAAAACAACTAAAGAAAAACTAAATAGTAATAATAATAAAATGTCTCCACTGATCTGTGTTGTAAGTGTGATTTCTGTATGATTCCAATCGCTTTGTATAGTCAAAATCAGCAAATTGGCCGAGCTCCGCTACAACTACATGGGAGCGATGAGGAGTGAGGCAGGGACGAGCTCTGCCTCACGTAAACCCACAGTAACTGGCTGGAACGCGGGCACTAATGTAGCGCGGGCACTTATTTTGTGAGCGCACTCAAGCCAGTTACTGTGTGGTGAGGTGAGGCACAGATGAGCTCTGCCTCACCTCAGATGCGTCACCCCACAGAAACTGGCTGGAAAGCGGACCCTAACCCCTAAAACACACCAGGAGCGTCTGCGCCACGTTACGTTGCGGCTGCGCCACGCTGCGACCTCCTCCTGCGACAACACACACCAGACGCGTTTCAAAACGTTGCGGAAGCGGAGCGTCGTGTGTGCAGCCTCGCAGTTGTTGTTGATTTTGGAATATTTCCTGGACATTTGTACTTCTACAAGTAAGTAGGCTATACGTAGTTAAATGGTTTATGTTTGTGTCTGTTTAAATTGTGTTTATTGTTGTTATTTCCTATTTTGTTGTGTTGTAGACTACAGACACAGTTAATAATAATTGTAATATTCCAGTTATAAACGACATGAATCAAAGATGTGTTGCTGTATTTTAGTGGTAAAAAAATATGCATTCATCATCATAATTATTCTATATATATATAATTTACAGTGCCTGTAAACCGGAGGAGAACGCTGGCATGTATTCTCCTACTTGAAAGACTACGGGGGACGGGGGGAGGAGTTTACCTTACGGCTGCGCCGCGGCAAAAATAGAATTAATCCTAATTTTAGAGAAGCGCTGCGCCGAGCCGCTTCTGGGACGCGTCTGAGCCGTAACGCGGCGCTTGTGGTGTAATAGCACCCATTGACTAGAGTGGCCGCGATCCTTACGACCGCCGCGGCGCGGCCGTAAGGTAAACTCGCAGACGCTCCTGGTGTGTTTTGGGGGTAACCCCCTAATCCCACCAGGAGCGTCTGCGCTGCGTTGCGCTGCGGCGTTTTTAGCGATCGCGGCCACTCTAGTCAACGGGTATTCCACCAGACCCGCTGCGCCGCGCTGCGCCGCGGCTCGAAGCGTCCCAGAAGCTCCTTGCCGCAAGGAATTTCTAAAATATAGGATGAATCCTATTTTTGACGCGGCGCAGCGCGGCGCAGGCAGGAAGTGGAACGTTCATCCAACAACTGCACACACGACGCTCCGCTTCCGCAACGTTTTGAAACGCGCCTGGTGGGTTATGACGCAGGAGGAGGTCGCAGCGCGGCGCAGCCGCAGCGCAGACGCTTCCGGTGGGATCAGGGGGTACGCGTATGCCTGCACCATCTTACTGTATGTCACCAATGTAATGTTTGTAGATCCCTTTATTACATTTATCCTCGCCATCCATAGTCTCTAAATAACTTATTTCACGTATATATGATATTTAGGCCCGCTGGTCTCATCAATGAAAAAAGCACCAGGAGAGGCAGCCATAACCTCTGCCGCACTGAAGGGGGCGCACGTGAGCCCACAGGTTCTTGTTGCTACTGTTATTCTACGCAGACGCAAACAACAAGCTAGACTTTTGAAACTAGAGGAAGATAAGGAGGACTTTTACAAAAATGTAATGGAGATTGTTGTCCAGAAGGATAGCATGGACTTCATCTTCAAGTCAAGGTAAGACCACAATTGTAATGAACATGGGATCTTACTAAGAAAGAACAATCCAATATTTAGATTTTGGGTATCCTTTTGTTGAACAGTCTGTTTAAAATGAATCGAAGCATCAGACTAAAAAAGCTTTTGAAAATAACCGAACATTTCGATTAAGGTCAAAATATAATATTTGTAAATCTGACTCTGAAAGAGTCAGTGCCTCACCAGCCATGAACCTCACCGCACGTCACTGATATGAATGCATCTGCCAATTGCCTGGTCAAGTTAGATGCTGCGTATCACAGCGCACTGAGATTTGTGACAAACTGTAAAGCATTAACCCATCACTGTACCCTGTATGCAAGGGCTGGTTTGCTTTCACTAACTGTACGGAGGCTCAGTCACTGGTACATTTTTATTTACAAAGCCATGTTAGGGAAACTTCCATCCTATATCTGCTCCCTGATCTCACGGCGAATTGTAAGTGGCTACTGCCTGAGATCGAATGCTGTGGTTTTATTAAATGTGCCAACTGCTAGGACTGTCTTAGGGAAGACAGCTTTTAGATGTGCAGCTCCTCTGTCTTGGAATAGTCTGCAAATGAAATGGAAACTGAACAATCTGGTGCCACTAAATGTTTTTAAAGCTCGGTTGGATGCTAGTCAATCGGAAGCTATTGGTACCTGTTTATGTGGATAATTATGTAAATCATGCTGTATGATGTCCTTTTGTTGTTCTATTTATGTTGTTATGTTTCATGTGGAACTACTTGAGCAGGTCTCCCTTGAAAAAGAGATCAATGATCTCAATGGGATTTATCTGTATAAATAAAGGTTTGAAATGAAATGAAAATAGCTTGAGTACCTTTATTTAGGCATAATGGCCTCACACACTCACACGTTAATTACACATGTTAGACATTGCTCCTAAAGGTACAGATTTTATTTTGTTTTATATTTATCATTGTATTTATTTTATATGTTGACATCAGGAGATGTTATACAGTTCTGTATTGCCTTTTATTAATTGTGATTGAAACACTTTCTTATTATTTATTTTAATATTTTCAAGACATTCTTTTTAGTTGTACAGCTTATTTAACCTTTTTGTTTGACATCAGCCAATATAAATAATATGGCCATCTGAGTGTGTGTTACTGTTTGTGGTTTGTTTTTAACTGTGTAATACAGTTAATGATTCCAAATGTTAGAGTTCCTTATTTTCATACCAAAACTTGCACTACTGTTAAAAATAAATAACAGCAAAAAAATTATGCATTTGGGACTTTTTTTTGCTTTTCCTTGTTGTACTGAACCCGTACCGAACCGTGACCCCCAAACCGAGGTATGAACCGAACCGTGACTTCTGTGAACCGTTACACCCCTACTTCAGATAGAATCAATTCTATTATATCATTTTCTTTTATTTATTAGTTGATCTCTTTAATCCACCTCTTTCTTTGCTGTGCATTGTGGGAAGGTGGAAAATAAGATAGTGGGTTTGAGGGAGGATGACAAGATAATAAAAAAAAGCAAAGACAAAAGTGAATGTCTTAAATCGCTTCAATTAAGTAATTGTTTCTGAATGTGTAGAAATAAACTACAACACACAACATATAGCCAATACCTCAAATGTAATATTTCAAGTAATAACATACTACACTTTGAGTGGTAGCAATGACTACTGTTTCAGACTTTGCTGTCATTTGAAAGAGATTACAGTGAAACAACTAAGATGGAGCAGAAATCCAGTTTGAAAAAAAAACCCTGTAGCCTGCAGCGGCCGGGGTGTGCAGCGCAGCAAGAGGGTCCCATATGGAGAGCCAGGGCGATGCA